GAGAGAGAGAGAGGAAGAGGAGGATGAGAGGAAATTCATGGCGATGTGGTGGATCAACACTCCATCTACTGGTCAGAGGTGAAGGACACATCATTTACCTCTATCCGCCTACTATTCTTCTAGTTCGATTTGATCCTTCTGTTCCCTTCTCGATCGTCTTCTCCTTCTCTGCGACTCGGTTTGGTTCATCTCCAAACTTTTCCATGTTCATTCCTCATGCTTATCGGCTTCTACTTGTTTGCAGGACTCGGTAAGAGTGAGATGGACACGGCAGCTATAAAAGACATACGAATCCTTTGATCCACAGTGTATGCAATCGTTGGAGTAGAATGGGAGCCGCAAGCTCGACGGAATCCAGCAGCAGGGATGCGAGGGACTACCCGGAGCAGCCCTACAGCACCACCAGCTTCTCCCGTGGATGGTCTTCCTATCCTCCTCCTCCTCCTCCTCCTCCATCACAAAGCTACGATTCCCCACCCGTGGCCTACCCTGCGTCTCGCTCCTACTACCCGCCGCCGCCGCCGCCGAGCTATGACTTCATTTCCGGTCAAACAGGGACGAGTTCTTCGCAAGCCACAGGACGACAGCCGAAGGCGGAAGCCAAGTACTCGAGAATAGCCGACGACTACAGTTCCTTGGAGCAGGTTATCCTCTGTTACCTTCTGTTCTTGATACAATCCAAGCTTATTTCTTACCAATGCAGTCAGCATCATATTAGGCAATGATAGGTATCTCGAAGGAGATGGGTGATAGAAAGTCAATTCACCTACTAATCTAGAAAATGGATCTCATCTCTCCTAGAATCTCAAGTGGATAGACTGGTAGATCCTGTCCAATCCATTCACCATTGTCGTGTCCTGCGTTTGAATCTTGTGACTCCAACAGGTAACTGAGGCCCTGTCACGAGCTGGCCTCGAATCCTCGAATCTTATCGTAGGCATTGACTTCACCAAGAGCAACGAGTGGACAGGTAACCATCCCCCGAGTCCACTGCTCACCACCGCGAACATGTTACTCACCTTCTCGAACAGGTAAACTCTCGTTCCACGGCCGCAGCTTGCACTCCATCGGTGCCGCCACAAACCCCTACGAACAAGCCATCTCCATCATCGGACGGACCTTGTCGGCCTTCGACGAGGACAACATGATCCCCTGTTTTGGATTTGGAGATGGTAGTCACATTCAAACCCCCTGCTTTGTTCTTCAGCCTTAAGGTTGACTCGTGCGGTGATTGATGATGGCTGTGCTACTTCGCAGCAACCACCCATGACGGAGATGTCTTCAGCTTCTATCCGGGGGAGAGACCTTGCAATGGATTTGAGGAAGCTTTAGAACGGTATCGAGAGATCACCCCGCATCTGAGATTATCTGGTACCTCTCACAACCTTAGTTTTGGTGAATCGGAGTGCTATGATCCATCGGAGGGAGTTCTGAACATGTTCAACTACAGGGCCAACATCTTTTGCTCCAATGATTGAGATGGCTGTGACCATCGTGGAGCAGAGCGGGGGTCAATACCATGTTCTACTAATAATCGCAGACGGACAGGTATGCATGCTCCATCCACGGCACTGCTCCTTCCTTCATCTCATCCGTGCAAAGGCATCCTTTTCTCGGTAGTTGAGATGTTTAGAATGTGATATTGGAACAGGTGACAAGAAGCGTGGATACTGATCTTGGCCGATTGAGCCCCCAAGAACAGAGGACAGTTGATGCCATCGTCAAAGCTAGGTAAATCGATCAGACTTTTGACATGCTTGGTTTGACATTGTTCTCACTACTGATTCATGTCTTGGTGCAGTGAGTGCCCCTTGTCCATCATCCTGGTGGGGGTTGGAGATGGACCCTGGGACATGATGAAGGAATTCGATGACAACATTCCTGCTAGATCTTTCGACAATTTCCAGGTACAGAGATTACGGCACACAGCAATTTGGATTCATTCTTTACTCGGTTTTTCTATTTCTTGTGTTTGATGATGCAAATTGTATCAAATAGTTTGTGAATTTTACGTCGATCATGGAGAAGGGAACGCAAAAAAGCCGAAAAGAAACAGAGTTTGCTCTTGCTGCACTCATGGAAATACCTTCACAGTACAGAGCAACAATCGATCTTGGCATCTTAGGGTATGCGGACGCAGAACTCATACTTGTTGATTAGTTTTCTCCGACTGCTACTCCATGATCTGTGACTGCAATGTGTGACAAGCAGGAGGCATAGTGGAACGTCTCCAAGAAGAGTGCCTCTTCCACCTCCGACCGGTAGTTCTCCTGCAGCTTTTCCTGGCCCAAAAGCTTCTGGATCAGCTGGTCCTAAGCACAGTTCATCGTCTTATCCTCATCATAGAACAACAACTACACCAACTGCAACAGCACCTGTGGAAACTCAGGTAAATCATACAAGAAATCGTATCTATCTGATTCCGATTCTTCTCTTCTTCCAACGATACGAGTGATGATGAGGTTCGTCAATTGCAGGCTTGCCCAGTTTGTCTCTCCAATCCCAGAAACATGGCATTTGGCTGTGGGCATCAGGTACGAAGCAGCATAACCATGGTGAATCTGAAATGGTTTGTATGACGATGATGATGGATTTGTTCTTGATCTGCACTGCAGACGTGTGTTGATTGTGGACCTCGGCTTAGCTTCTGCCCCATTTGCCGGAGCTCAATCCAGACCAGAATAAAGCTCTACTGAAGCATAGATTCGTACTGTATGTGACTGTAAAATAGTTCGTCTTCTGGGTGTATAAATTTGTCCAAGCGCATGTAGCTGAAGACAGATTACATGTCTGTGCAAACAAGTTGATTGGAGTCCGTTTTGGTATCAGAATCAATGGTTTTTTTTTTTTAATAATAATAATTTAAAATAAAAAGTAAAATCATAATTTAAATTAAAAAAAATATTTATATTTATATTTATATATTTATCACAAATCACTATTATTAGTTTCGATTCCTAAATATCAAAACCAACTTTACTCATTTCTTCTTGTAATATTCACTCATTCAAAATAAGAAAAAGATAAAGAAAAGAAGAGCAAATGGATTTATTGAGATTTGATTACTTATCAGGAAATTAAGTTAATTCACATATATGACGTCAATATTTCCCTGCAAATATACAACATATGTACCGATCTAATACTACTGGCTATCCACTTACGATGGCCGACTCTGCTTCGTGAAGCCCGCAGTGACCAGCTTAAACCACTGGCTATCCACTTGCAGGTGCTCGTCATCTCCGCCATGGAACCCGTCGCAGGAATTGGAGACGAGGCAGCCGTCAGAGTCGACGTCCAAGCACACCTCCGTTCCATCCGTCAGCTTCGTGGCCAGATGCGTCTTCTCCGAACCCGACACGAGCTGCCACCGCGAGTCCGACGGGTCGCAGATGATCCCCAGCCTCACCGGCGCGCCCAGGCCGACCGCTCGCAGGCAGAAGTAGGTGCCGGTCACCATCAAGAACTCCTGCGGCGTGTAGCGCCATGAATCGGATGCGGAGCAAGGGCCAAGCTTCAGCGGGTCTGCCATGGTCCTCCGCGTCACGCAGAGGCCGGTGGGCGGGTGGAAGATTTTGGTGCGTGGGCGGCGGAGCAAAGGATGGCTCTCATCTGCGCCAGGAATCATCAGTCAACAACCATATAGCGGCTCTCTCTCTCTCTCTCTCTCTCGCATACAACTCGAGAAGGGGATGAATCATCGACAGACAAACCTCTTAATTGGAGCAGCAAAGGAGTCGCTGCGGACGTACGTTGTAGCAGAAGACTGGAGCAGCAAAGTAGGAGCGGAAGAAGATGAAACGAGGACGCCATGTTTGCTGGGGAAGGCAGAGAAGAATGGGAGGGGATGAGCGAGCGAGTGAGTGAGAGATATTTACTAGCAAGTTTAGATCAAAATGTGATGTATAATATCATCTTTGCCGTCAAAGAGTGTTGTGTTGGCTATGCCAAATATTTACGTCGATGCTTGCGTGAGGTTTTACTTAGTCCACATTGCTAGTATTGCTTGTACGCAACTAATGGCTGTGTCATCCGAAAACCTATTATATTATATTATAGTGAAGTGGCTTACAAAGAAAGCAACGTAGTTGACTTTAAGAGGCCGTGCAAGAGAATCTTATCGGTCGGATGCATAAAAATATTGATACAGAGCCAATCAAATTTCTACTTGACATCAATTTCATCGTGGTGTCGGGAAGTTCTAAGCATGCTTGATTTGGGATGTACTGAACCTTACAAAACTATGTTATGAGTTGCCCAACAAAGCTCGTCCGAATCTTAAATTAACTTTTGATTAGGTGTGTTGGCTAAATGTGACGTCTTTGAAAGCCTAATGTATTAGAGAGTGAGAGTTCTCTACATGAGGGGTCTTTTCCATATTAAGGTTTTGGATCATTATGTTTGTTTGGTGTCATGGTTTAATGCTGGAAGTGTTGGTGTTGGGATGTAATCGTGCTATGTTGAATTTGAAAGATATGATACGATTATAACATTAGAGGGTGAAGTAAATCATGTAATATCAAAATATCGACGATACGATATCAGAGAGTCAATCATATGATATTGAAGTATTTGACAGTTAATATTATCGTTACTCTCACGAAGGATTACTAGTCTTATGAATCTTCGATTTAACATGAGCAAAGGATTAAAAAAAACTGATCATCTTAGATTGAAATAATAATAATTTTTTCTTCTGTTAGTCAAAGATTAACATTCTTTCTTTTTCGAGTCCATCAAAATCTTTTGGTAAAATTTATAGGAAGTTATGGATAAACAAAAAGAGAAAAAGGGATTGCAAAATAATAGAGTTGAGTCAAATTGACCGGATATAAAAAATCAAAGACTTTAGAGCGATCTTTTAAATTTCTCATCTCATCTATGAATATTATCATCACAAACAAAAATATAATTATCCAAATTCCTATAAAAGAATACTCGAACCTAATTTACATGGTGAAGTAGAATTTGGAAATGCCCAATTAGGAAGCCATGGAACTATTATGACCTAACTTAGTGGATGGTTTAAAATATTTAAACCTAAATTAATGATAATACACCCATCGAACACTTTACTCTTATAAAGTAGTTTTAGCCATCTCCCGCTTGTGATAGTTCGCGACAACTCCACAAAGAGCTCACGATGCAATATGGTGAGATAATTAATTCGTTAATTGATTCGTACAAGCATTTCATACATTTGGCTACCAACCAAACCACATAGTAAATAACAAACACAAATAGCTCAGGATCTAATAAGATGGGATAATTAACACATTAATTCTTAGCACAAGCATTTCATACATTTGGCAATCAAACCATATAACAAATCACAAGCATTTCATACATTTGGCAATCAAACCATATAACAAATAACAATCACATCATTGCTAGCTAGGGTTCACGTTGTTGTGACCACTGCGGTGGATGCCAATTATAAATTAGCGCTAATTATAAATTAGCTCATGTAGTTAGACATCTTTAGTATCTCAATCTCTAGACTTAAAATTTTAATATTAAAATATATATAATTATGAAAGTAAAATATTTAATTTCATTTACTCTAACATCATCTACTTTATCGATGCAAAATACAGCACGTGATACCATGTGCATGAATGACATGAAAACGATAGACAAAAATATAATTTCATTAATGGTAATGAATGGTAACATCGTGGGTGACTGTTGTGATGGTGGTCGATGAGAACGATATGATGGTATGGTGGTCGATGAGAACGATATGATGGTCAACCTTGTTGATGTCAATTTGAACATCGACAATAAGGAGACAAAGCGATAAGACATCTACATCTGCATTGGCACCGCATCGTTTTGCCTCCTCTTCCTCATTTAGTGCCACTCTACATCTACGTCAGCGAAAAAGAGGAGACAAGTGAGGCATCTGCATCATCGACGAGGAGGGAGGAGATAGGTGAGGCATCTACATTGGCGTCGCATTACTTTGCCTCCTCTTTATTCTTACTAACCACCACATCTTTTTGAAGTAATGCCACACTATCTCCTCTACGTCGACGCTGCACCGCTTTACCTCCTCTTAATTCTTATCAACCACTACATCGTCCAATGCAGTGTTGCACTATTGCCTCTACATCGGTGCCTACCCCCTCTTCGTTCTTGTTGACCACTGTATCACTAGAAGAGGAAGAGGAGGCAGAGCGGTGCGACACCGACACAAATGTCTCACCTGCCTCCTCTTCCTCCTCCGACACCGCACTGCTTTGCTTCTTCATTCTTGTTGACCATCGTATTGTTCGATGTGATACACACTTCCTCCATTATGTCGACACCGCACCACTCTGCCTCCTCTTTGTTCTCACCGACCACCACATCATCGGAAGAGGTAAAGGAGGTAGAGTGATGTGACACTGATGCAAATGCCTCACTTGCCACCTCTTCCTCCTTCGGCATCACATCGCTCTGTCTCCTCTTCATTCTCATTGATCATCACATTGTCCGAAGAGGAGGCAAAGCGGTGCAACGCCAATGCAGATGCCTCACTTCCCTCCTCTTCCTCCTCTGACGTCGCAATGCTCTGCCTCCTCTTCATGTGTTGATCATCACATCGTTGAAAGAGGAAGAGGTGACAAAGCAGTGCGATGCCGACACGGATACCTCACTTCCCTCATCTTCCTCCCCCAACATTGCACTGCTCTGCCTCCTCTTTGTTCTCGCCAACCACCACATCGTTAAGTGCAATGCCGCATTGTCGCCTCTACGTCGGTGCCGCACTGCTCTGCCTCCTCTTCATTCTCATTGACCATCACATTGTCGAAAGAGGAAGAGGAGATAAAGTGATGCGACGCCAATGCATATACCTCACCACTCTGCCTCCTCTTCCTCTTCGTCGTCAATGTTTGGATCGACATCGACAATGTCAGCAATCAAAATTATCTTTTTATCTATTATTTTTGTATCATTCATATACACGTTGTATCTTCTGTTGATAAAACCGACGACGTTAGAATAAATAAAACTAAATATTTTACTTTCATAATTATAAAAATTTTAATATAAAATCTTTAAATTAAATGATCATAATACTAAGGAGGTTTAACTACAAAGGATAATCTATAATTAGCCCCTCCAATCGATGTGACATCATATTTGACTGTTCACATGATATTTTAGAAGTTAATTTACAAGGGAATGCTAAAGAAAAAGAAAATGCAAACTTCTAATTATACTAGATATTGGTTTGAAATTGATTCAGATATATGCTCGATCAGTCAATATTCGATCAACAAATATCATATACATGACGCTAACATATGCCAAAATGTTCTTAATGTATGTCAAAGGACGTCCCAAAACCAAAACTCAAACGATGGAGCATCTTTCTTTCTTTCCAAGTAGGGTTTACTTCCACTTGACTTCAACAAGGACATCCCAAGCCAAATAAGTTATGGTAGAGCATCTTTCTTTCCTAGTAGAAGGTTTAAGGTTCGGATTCTTATCTTGCACAGGCTATGTATCAATTCTTTCAACATCTGACTTTAACAAGTTTGTATCCCCTACTATGTGATCTTCTAAAACCTTACGATCATATTATTCAGTCCCACACTTTCCGAAAAGAAAAGAAACAAATAAAAAAAAGAAAGAAAAACTTATGAATTAAACAGATAATGTCTCTTGCACTTGGGTGATCAATGCAGGAGAACTGGTAGAAAATGTAGAGGCCTAACTAGTTTGGCCAAAATACAAGTCTTTTGCAGTTAGTCTGCAATAAATAATGCCCTACCTTTTCTTCTTCTTCTTCTTCTTTTTTTTTTCCTTTCACTTTTTCTTTCCCTTTTCATTATTTTAACACCACAATTCCACTGGCTCAAGATTTACTTGTACAATACTCACCTTTGGCATCACTTGTCCCCAAGATGCATGCTTAGATGGAAACACAACTCTGGGCATATCTTTTCCATTGTGGATGAAAACTCAACATAACATTCACCATAAAGAAACACAAAAGATTATTCATTCAATAGAAATCAACCATTACCAAACACTATTGCATGACACTATCCAAATCTAAAGAAAACTAATCACAAAGCAAGACAGATAATTCATCAGTTTCCGTTAATACTGGTAGAATGGTCTCCACGTACAAGGCATGTTATTGACAAGGTAAATATCTAGTCACACACAGGTTTATATTGCAAACTTTCCAATCTTGTATTGAGAACAACCACTCATTCATATGAAAAGCTATGTGTTGCTGTCCTGGAAAAGGCAAAAGGCAGGAAAGAAAGAACCAACTTTAAACTTACTTGAAACCTACATATAAAAGATGCTACCTTGAATAAGGGTGAAGCTCATACTCAATATGTCGGTTAAAGAGGTGATCATGGAATTTTATAAAGCATGTAAAGAAGACTAGCTAAGTACTGGCATCATCCATCTTTTAAGCAACCTCTCACTTTTGCCTTAACTTTCTTTATTCTCATATGGCTTCATTATTGGGCATTCCAAAGAAGCAAACCAACGAAGAAGCCACAATATATATCAATCTCACTCATAACAGGCTCATTTCAGCCTCTATGTTTCAGAAGTATCAGTCACCTCACATGCTTAGCTACTTTCCAGATATTACACTTTAGGTCTTTCTGAACAAGTGTTTTACACTACAACACATGGCCTAAAACGACATCAGTAAAAGATAAAGAGGAAGTGAATACTACCCACCGCAATAAGATGATGCTACTTGTCTGACAAAAGCAGATTCCAAGAACTCCCAAATCTTGTGTGAATCCAATTCTTTCTTGTACCAAAGAACCATCAAGTCATGACCCTATTAATATACGACCATGGTGCTGAAAATTCCAGACTCCACAAATATCGTATATAGTTCCAAATGATTTGCATGATGCAGTCTCAAATTAGTTCAGATGACATCCTATCCGAGTACGAAGACATCTTGATGAAGAAGATTATTCAAAAACATGCGCCAGAAGATCATCAAGTTGATTCGGCTCCATTGCTTGATCTGACTGAGGACATATTTCACAACATCAAAATGTCAAGTGTATTAACTACTGGTTCAGTCTATCTTCTTTTCTATTGCAATTTCTGAGCAGTTTTTCTAAAACCAATGCCTCTAGAATAGTGAATGACAATTTTGGATAAGAATATATTTGTTGAGTGCACAATTATTAGATAAGAAACATCCATAATATGTCAAAGCTATTTACTGAATTATAAGGCTATGTTACTGATAGACTTTTTTTCCAGGAATCAAGTCATGCAAAGAAGCAGTCCAAGAGGACAGCAGAAGCAAGCAGAATGCCAAAATTCTCAGCACTGTAAAAGAACTAGGAATGACAGTCCATCACATGTCATGTGAAGTAAATCATGCTCTTATTTCCATATATGAAATATATATGCAATTTGATACATTTCTAAATGATCTTATTTGCAGATGCTGCAGCATAGTGCTGCAGATCAACCTTCCGATGCAACCACAAATGCTGTGTTGGAGTTGCTGGAAAAACATCGCTGGAGTACAAAGCTTGCCATAGTTCTTGCAGCATTAGCATCAAGCTATGGAAAGTATTGGCTCATTGCACAGTTATGTCTCACCAATCCTCTTGCCTTTTCACTGGCAGCAATCAAGGGAATGAGTGACAGTACAAAATTTACTATAATGTTGAACCACCGCTCCAAGGCTTTAAGATATCTTCTTGAGAAGATGGTCAGTGTGACAAAATGCGTGATGGAGTTTGAAATACTTCCGCTGCAGTACGTAACCTTAGATTATGATGCTATGGCTATGATGAAGACCCAAATCCATATAGCTTCCTATTGGGTAATCAGAAGTTCAGTGGCATGTGCTTCCCAGATCACTAGCATGATAGCTTCGAGATTTGAGAGAGTGAGTATTCTTCCCCTAAACTTGATACATCTGAGTTTTCAAAGTGATAAATAGTTTTATAGAAGACTGATCAGGGATCGCACTGATTTATTTAAGTAAAACTATCTAGTTTTTATTATTAAATATTTGCCTACCTTCACCTTGGTTTTCAATGATGCAGCAGTATGAAATAAGATGAATGCTAATGGCTTCAAATCAAAATTTCAGGCAAAGGCTATGCCTGCAGCATGGGAACTTTGGAGTTTAGTTCAAAAGATCACCTACATATATGCTGGTTTAAGTACGAAGTTTGATGCCTTCAATCAACAAATTGGTAATACATTATTCTGATTTGAGCAGTAATACCAGAAAAGAGTAATAGAAGAGTTTTACTATGTCAATTGGTCAATACATACTCTATAATGTCTCATATGAAAAGAAGGTAACTAGAAAATTAACTTATATAATCTACATGACAAATCTATGGCAGGAAGAATATGTATCATAAAATTGTTCCCTGATATGATCAACTATCCAATTTTTCATGATTGATATATGAAAATTTTAATCCATTGACATTAAGGACTTCTAGATGCCCACATAGTAGCCGTAGGACTTTCGAAGGAATAAATTGAGAGCACTTAACATAAAGAACCTGTTTCCTTATAAAGGTTAGAAAAGTAAGATTGCATATAATTGATTTTTCTTGTATCTTATATTGATGGAAGCCTCATGTAATGGATTACTTCTTTTTTTTTTGTTGGCTTCAGGATATTTTATAATTTGCATCCCCATAATAGTTATCCAAACCCAGCCTTGTGTTTCATCTCTACATTTCTTTTACAGTATATTTCACAAATATTTAAAACCTTAACCATAACAAGTTACATGGATCAGAATGTAGTAACACCATACAAGCATAAGTCAATGCCACACCTAGGCATAAGATGTATGAAGGTTCAAAATTTGCACTTCCTGTCAACCCCTAGACTTTCTTGCATCACGAGACTTGGTAACCTACTAGACATGCCTCTATAAGTTGCACATATTTTGGTTTAACATTAATTATTACACCCATCTGAAGAAATGGATTCAAGTGTCTGCATAAGTGAAAGAGTTCTTATTTATTGAAAAGATATTGAATGAGAGAGGAGAAACTTTTTATTTATTGAAAAAAGTGAAAAGCACTATATGGCTTTCGACAATATTATTTGTTCTACGGCTTTTCACAGTATTTGTAGTTAGTCAATTTTCATCTCTTTTTGTCAAACTTTCTAATGGTCTTGCTGTTATTCTGGTCTTTGATGCTGCCTTCCACCTTTGTTACGTCCCATTTTCAGGTGCTCCTTTCCTTTCTTCCTTTCCATTGAGCTATTTTTGCAAAATCCCTATCTATTGTACTCTCCCATTTCACGATTAGCATAATGCTACAACATATGACCTACGCAAATATATTGGATGTCCATGAGAAATATATTTTCTCAAACTAAAGTGATTCATAAAATTTAGGAAAATGGCCCCAACATGATAAATATAACCAACCTACCATCTCATAGTAGCAGATCCTGTAGCTAAAAGTAACCACTTTTTAATTGACCAAATTTTACAAATGCAAGTAAATATGTTTATAGAAGTCTATTTGCTAAATATGAAGCATGAAATATAAATATATCTCACATGCTCTAATCACACAACTTATCAATTTTGTAAGATTGTAAGTTTTGCAGATCATGATGCAAAACTGAAGTAACTGAGAACATTAGCATGTAGAAAGACATTTATTAATTGCCATATTAGTGCATTATTAGGTCTTCTTAGACTCGATATTGCTACAATAAGGTGGCTGGAACTGCAAATAGTAGTTTTAGAAATGTTTACTTTATACGGGTATGAAAATACTTAACTAGATGATCTAAGACGCATTTTCATGATCCTCCTTTTTGATAGATGATTGTCATGCAGCAAGAAGCTAATGTAGCTAATAACAATAAAATAATACAATAAGAAGAGTTTCCTTTGTAAAAAGAATTTCCTTGGCAGTTATAGGAATGCATTACTGCATGAATAGAAGTATATTGAATGAAAATTATAGAATTCAATAGATACAAAGGATATATGACTTAAACATGGCTAATTCATGGAGTATTAAAATTATGGTAGTTGTAATCCATGTTGATCAAGTCATCTAAGTTGAACAAAAAATATTATTTATGGTAATCCCTTTATATTAAAAATAACATATACAAAAAGTTTGTGTTGCTAAGATAAAAATATTGAGATAAATGTATGGAGATACTAGGAAAAATAGGAAAAGAAATACTTTTATTCGTGAACAATTAGATATCGCTTTGATAGAGGATAAAATAAAAGAAAATTGTTTAAAATGATAAGGACAAATGCTTATAGACCTTTGGATGCAGTATTCAGAAGTGGTGAAATCATTAATGTTAATGGTATGAGAAAAGGTAGAGAAAGACCTAAAAGAACTTTTAAAAAACTATAAATAAAAATTTAAATACTCTAAACTTAACTAAACATATGACTTTTTATATATTTCAATGTCAACAAAAGATCCATGCGGCCGACCCCAAATATTTGGAACTTATGGTTTCGTTGTTGTTGTTGTTGTTATTCTACTCACATTATAGAATAGTTAAAGTGGTCAGTTCAAATATCATCAGATAGGTTGTACCATTCAACTCCGATAGAATATGTAGGAAAACTAAATCTAACTAGAGGCTATATTTTAGAATAGCATTTTACTTGGATTTTCATTTTACACCTGTCAAAGAGTAATTAGTAAATAACTGAATACATAGTTTTAGTTTCTTTTAAACCTTATGATAATTTATGTTGTGATACTTATCCTTCTTTTTGTTACGAAGAGTCAAAAGTGTATTTGAGGCTCTTGAACTTGTTTGAGGAGGTCCATGTTGACAACCATGATGTTCTCTACACACTGTTTGCGCTAAAGGATGATTTTCCACTCAGAGATTCTTTCTCACAGAAAAAGGTTAGTTCAAGTCAGACCTACAGCTAAGTTTACTTCTTCCTATAAAATTGTGCTGTTAGATTTGATTGTGTGATTTACATTCCTAACAAAGGAGAGAGAAGTATTCTGGATGTAAAATTGGAACTCAATTGACACTTTAAATTAATCATCTTTGAACTAGCACAACTAGCCAAACACATGCTGAACCTGTGCACTATTTCAGGGGCACTTAAATCTAATTGTTGGTTGGAAGTACTTTTGAACTGAATTTCTCTGTTAGTAATTTTTTGTAGTTTTTCTTTGGGTGATTACCAGGTTGGTGTGGATGTGTTGAAAAATAAGGTTGTTATAATCTTCATCTCAAGGATGGACGAGTACCCAGAAAAGCTTCTTCTTATTATACAACAGTCACGAAACAAATCACTAACCACGTCAGAGGAACCCTATGAGATTGTTTGGCTTCCAATTAACTTCTCAGCAGAAGTTGGAGAGAGAACACACAATCAAATAGCAGACATGATACCATGGTATTCAATAAGTGAACCTTCGAAAGTAAGCCCATCAGTTATGAAATTTATACAACAAGTATGGCACTTCAAAGGAGACCCAATGATGGTGGTCTTAGATTCTTATGGAAAGGTACTATCACTAGATGCATTTGATATGATAGCAATTTGGGGACCGAAAGCTTATCCCTTTACAATTTCACGAGAAAGGGAGCTTTGGGAAGAACAAAGTTGGACAATGAACCTTCTACTAGATGATATTGATCCCCTTTTATCCTACTGGGTAAGCTTCTCAATTACATTACAAACTAAGATGATATTAATCCCCTTTCCTCTAAGATGCATTACAAACTATTCCTTTCTGAATATAAGTTTAATAAGTTAACTTTTCATTTGTTTGAGTTAAGAAACATATAAAATCTAATGTAATAATATCTCACACTTTGTAGTATCTCCTTACCAAGAAATCTAATGTACCATATTCCTCACTAGCATTGTCAAATTCATAATGAACAAAGTTTCATCAGGCTCAAGGTCAGCTAGGAAGGGCACATGATTCGGATTGATAGGATTGATCGATCCAATCAACAAGATATAATTCAATAAAAATAACAATAACAAGCTATAATGTTCAAGCTATTTGGGTTTGACTATGTAGACCTTTTTCTCTGCCATTAAGCTCTGTATAAAATAGAATGCCTGAACAAATCATGAATATCTAAATATTTATTTATGCTGTCTAGTAAGTCTTGTTAAATCTCCCTCTACCTCTTCTCCTCTATGTTAACTTATCTTTTTCTCATTTCCCTCCTCCTATTCTTCTTTTTTCTTTCCCCTTCTTTTGAGATTATCAAATTGGCTAAAATTGGTCAAAATCAGGTAAGTTCATTTGAGTTTGATAGATTCTAGAGAACCTTGATCAATTTCTGGTTATTAAGGCTTAGAAATTGACAAAAATTAAATTGGTCTTAGACAGTACAAATATGAATCAGGCGTATCATACTGAAATCAATAGGAACCATGAACCATGTTCAATTTTAAAATTATCAGGACATTTTCCATGTTAAATTTAGTATGTGTTGTTTTCACTAAGGTAAAAAGATATGACATACACTAGAAAGCAGGATACCCTTGAAATTTACAACTAACTTACTAAGAAGAAGAAAAGCCAAAGTATATAATTGCACATTTTTTATTACTTGTTTAGCATGTTTCTGTTTCATGATATGTCACTAACATACAAACATAAAATAATGTCTATTTTCATAATGCAAAGATTATTTTATTAACAAAATGGTATTATTAAAGTGATCTCAAGCCTTTCTCTAGACAATTAGATTTTGGTATATTATTAAAGTGATCTCGTGCCTTTCTTTAGACAATTAGATATTCTGTCATAGACTACATTGCAGTTTCGCATTTTAGATAGATGTCCCTATTTTACATAGGATGAAGACTACATAATTCAGCAATAGTAAAAGAAAGTGATGTAACTGCTATACAATTTGTTTAAATCCTTCAGTTATATCTGAGCAAACAACATATTCTTATCATTTATCTTACTTAGAAGAAGAAACACAATTCAGATAAAATGAAACTCTCAATTTTCATTCATCCCAAATATTTTATTTGAATGAGTCAAATACACTTAATTAATTCTACAAGTCAATATCAATGCCTACAAATTTCATTCGATTGAACAGTCATAAAAAATATGATAATATTAAATTGAAAAACAACACACAACCTACTAAATGCTATGGCAAAAGTAACAATGAAATGTAGTTGGCTCTGCTATGTTAGCATACCTTATTTTGTGTTGTACTTTAGCATATAAAGTTTGACATTTAACTTTACAGAGTATTTGTTCCCTAACTATCAATATACATCAAGTTGACAATTATTTACATCTTTTTATTGTCCACTAACAATGTCAAACTATTTTCAGATGGAAGATGGAAAAATCATTTGCCTTTTTGGAAGTAATGATTTAGGATGGGTTCGAGAATTAACCAAAAGAATGAAGGACATCAGTGAAGCTGGAATTCGAGTAGAGCTTATCTATGTTGGAAGCAAAAATTTTGAGCAAACAAGAAATATATTAACAAGAGTCATGGACGAAGAACTAAGTAACTACTTGTCACATATAAATATTAATATCTTTTGGTTACGTTTGGACAGCATGCAGAGTTCAAGGCTGCGACTTGGTTATGCAATTGAATCTGATTCTATTACAAGAGAGATCAATTCCTTGTTGACCTATGATTCAGTAAGTACAGGTTGGCTACTTGTAAGTGAAGGGACATCAACTGAGATTTTTAAGCTTGTAGGGAATGAAGTGTTAGAATATTTATCACATTTTCAATTATGGGGTGAAAGAGTTAGAAAGCAGGGATTCTTGAATGCCTTGAGAAAATCTCTTGATCCTTCTTCGACCACAGAACCCTGTGATTACTCTATCATAACTCCATTTTCAGAGAGTTCAGATGGAGTTGCAGTTTGCAAGAAATGTAAGTCTCTCATGGAGCGGCACGTCATGTATCAATGTGGGGCATGTTGAAGTTGTTTCATAACTGCTCAAAATTTTGACCAATAAAGAGTGCATGGTATTACAGTCTTACAATTATCTTACATACTATTTTTTTTCGGTTAGGGTACTTGAGGTCAATTTTAGAAATGGACCACTTCATGTAACCAGCTTTTAATTCCTTGACCTACATCTTGTCCATCCACTTGTTCCTGTTAATGAACTGTAAGATACCTACAAAGATAGTCTTGGTCATTTATTTCAACTACACCTTAATTTGTTTTTCCTCTTTATTTTACTAAAGCCGCACTTTATGTACACTTAAATTTTGGCTACTCATTCTCATAAAGGTAAAAAAGATAACTACAAAGCAGCAGGTGATCCGCATAGTAGCCCAATTTTTATCTGAAGTTATGTCATGAACTTCAACAATTTCAAGCATGAAACCTGAGCCTTATGCCTTTGGCGCCTATAAGTTGGATGAAGATGAAAAATCACATCTGCCATTATATCTCTGATGAATAAGATCTTGCTTTTCGACTATAATGGAGTAATTCTCCACATGAAAGTTATCTAGGTCATATATAGCTGGGCACAAATTTCACAAGGACTAACTTAGAGTGGATTTCCCTTCCTTAAAAGAAGAACATGAAATTCTTTTTCCTTTCTTCGCTCTACAAGGACCAGGAAATCAGATGTATCGAGCAGCTCTTCGATAAACTCTTAAAAGATGGTGCCCCCCACTAACAAAGACCCTGACCAAAAATGAAAACAATAGTATATAGACACCCAAATGAAACCCTGTTGAATACCTAATGATGTCAATAATGATGCTAGATGCCATAAAACATATATCCTTGTCCACAGCTTCCAGACCAGTTCTAGACAGATCAGGTAATACAATATCCTAACGAGGTGAAGTCTGTAAGCCCTATTTTCATGCTCAAAGTCATGTGCAGAGTGTTGATCCAAGGTATAGTCAAACACAAAGCAAAAAAGAGTCAACTCTGATTCCCAAGCCATACCCTTAAAAATCTGTTAGGGCTTTCCTTGACTGAAATTAACTGTCGTGTTACATTGTCTTAAAATTCACAATTGATCAGCATGACTGCATTATTCACTTAAATGTCAGATTTAAACACAAATTTAAAACTCCAAATTTAAAAACTAAACAATCATAAGAAAGGGCAATGCAAAATGTAGGTGATGGCGAAACATAGCAGTTAACAAGGGGAAAAAGAGGAAAGAAAAACTAGTTTTTGTTAGGTTTATTTGCGATAGAACATAGGTGAGACGAAGAAGCCTTCCAAATTGTGCCTCCTTCTAAACTCAACATAAGGGTGGCGGCGTACCTTCGAATCATGTAGTTAAAGATGATCTCCGATTACGAATCCTACCGACATCGTTGCCGCAATCTCAATCGACGAGCAGCGTTGGATTAACCAGCAAGGGGCAAGGGCGGCCGAAAACATTGTGTGCGGGGGAAAGGAAGCACAAATCAAGAATCAAGAATCAAGAATCGACGCAGCTGAGGGCAATCTTGGAGCGGGATCCCCAATTGCCTGCTTCCATCACAGATTTCACGGCGCTCTTTCGGTGCGGCCACAATCTCGGGTTGGTGCCGATAAATGACCACCAATGCAAGCGGCCGATACGTACGTTTGCTGTTTAATTCCCTTCGATACCCTCCAATGTTAACTATATATTTATCTACCTTGTGGGAATTATAAAATAACCTATTTGCCTCCTATTAATTAAAAAAAAAAAGTTAGTTTTGAAAAATTTCATCATAGTGCATCTTTCTTCCTAAAAAATAATTTTTTACTTCTTATTATATCATCCACTTTCTTCTATGCCTTCCCATTATCCTTACGTTTTATCGGTCATCGTCTTTGTCCCTCGTCTTTGTTCTTCGTCGATATGACGATAAGGATGGTAGGATGAGAATGACATATAATCGAAGGTAGAGGTGACTAAGGGCAAATGAGGAGATAACGATAGATGAGATAAAAGTAAGGGATAAAATGATCGATAATTTTTTTTTAAAATAAAGATGCTCTAAGAGAATTTCTTAAAACTATTAGTTTTTTTTTTAAATTTTACCCATTAATTTATAGATAACATATACATTCATGATGCCTGTAACAGTGCAATGTATACAGTTTTCGATCTCTCTTTTTGGTATTCCAATGTAATCGAGGCAAGGAATTAGATAAGCGGAAGAAGAAGAAGTTAACTAACAGATAAGATGAACAATGATAAGTAGTTCTTTTAATTTAAGATAAAGGAAAGGTTGACAACCAAGAAAGGAACAGCACAATCATAAGCAACTCAAATGGACGTACGATACTGCACTTGCAGAACGATGAAGAAGCAGCAAGCGCTCTCTCTCACACACTTTTATTTGGATCCTTCCTACTCGACCGAGCTTCTGATGATCTGCCATGGCAGGAAACCAGGGTTCGGCAGGCGGCGTACTCAGTCGTTGCAACAGCGGTAGAGCACGAACTTCTCCATGGGGCGGTTGCACTCGGCGCAGACCACCTGTTCCGTGATCCTGCCGGTGTCGCCCGGGAGGATGAGGCGGGTGCAGTGCTCATGGGTGTGGTAGGGCTCCAGCGCGCCGGTGAGCGCGGGGACGAAGCCCTGCTCCTGCACACTCCCCTTCCAGGAGTCGAACTGCAGGAGGCAGTCGATGATCTTCCTACCGTGGGACTTCACCATGTCCATCGAGCCATGGCTGATGATGGCCCACCCGTCGTCGCTACCGTCGAAGCTCAACATCGTCATCACCTCCCGCATGATGGGGTCGTTGTCGATGGTCCGCCCGCTCTGCATCTTGGAGTGCCACATGCTCTCCAGCCGCACCCAAAAGAACCACACCATCACCGGGTCCTGCCAGTACCCGCTCAGCTTCTCGTTGGCGATCACGTTGATGGCCTTCTTCACGCGCTCCTTGGGGTTGCTCTTTCCCACGTACACCATCTCGATGGGGATATTGGCTTCCTGCGACACCCGCTTCATCACATTCGTGAACTCCCTTATCCACTCGATCTTCTCTCCTCCGTACAGGCAAACATGGCGCCCTTCTTTTACCTGTGGAATCAAACAGAGCAAAGTGCCGATGAATTAATACTGCACAGATGATGTAGCGCTGGGTGAGCAGCTAATTCGTACCCATCCAAGCATGATAGGATCGATTTCGTCGACCAAGAACTCGAGTCGCCATAATTCTTCCTTCCATAGAGCTTCTTCTCTGTTGCTGGTGAAGGGGAACGCCTGGCTTCCCCAGATCCACACCATGTGGAGGGCATTAGGGCAGACGACCTTCCCCTGGGGGTCCAGCACCACCAGCAATGGCTTCTTGTCGAAGTGCCACAAGTCCCGTATGTACTTGATGACCGCCGGATCTAGTAGCGAGGGGTGGTGCAGCGAGTACCACGGCATGTTGGATGCCAGGCGGTTGAAGGTCTCCTCTTTGGCAGCAGTCCACGGGACGTGGCGATCGGTCACCGGCAGCCAGACGACCTCGTAGCTGCGGTCGAGCTTCCCATGATGCGCCTCGTTGTAGATCTGTATGAGAACGAAGAGCTCCTCGTGGATGATGTCGAGGTCGGAGATAAACAACATCACGATCTTCCGCCTCAGCACGTCGACGCTGACTCTTCTCTTCGTGGAGCCGTCGATGAGGGGCAGATCATCCTTGGAAGAGATCAGCACCCGGAGGATCTTCAAGTTATCGATGTGTACAGTCTCAAAGAGCCGCACCAGGGTCTGGTAAGCTTCGATGTGTTTCTTCTCACCTGAATCGAAAGCAATCGCTTTGGGTTCTACCCATACTTGATTCTAAGTAGAAGCTGATCCAAGAATCGTTTACCGATGTGTCGATTGCACAGATCAAGTTGCTTGGTGAGGTGCCCATGAATGCTGCCAACTTTGTGGGCCAAGCTCGAGAGCTCCCATACTTCACTGGTGGAGCTGATGTACCTGCGAATCAAGGGAAGAAGGATGAGCTGATGTACTTGGCATTTCATGGAAGGAAGGGATAGAGCTTACTCGTGACCGAGGCCAATGAGGGAAACGATTTGAGAAGCGCAAGCAACGACGCTTCTGATGGTCCAGTAGACAGCGGTGGGGACGTGCGCTAGGGCCATGGCCATGGCAGGGGTGTCAGGCGAAATGTACTCGGACGGAAGCTCCTTGAACTGGATGATGCACTTGGTGACATCCAGCATTGCCTTGATGAGGTTGTTGATGGTGTCGAAGCGGGGCTTGAGGGCGTCGGTGTGCTCCAGGATGTCAGGCAGCTGCTTGAGGAGGGCGACGGACTTGGCCAGAGGATTGATGGTGTGCAGCTGGGCGGTGAGCCAAAACTCTCCATAGCTCACGGCAAACGCTGCGAGGGCTATCACAACCTTCGCATCCCAAGTGTAGTTCGCCAGCGAGTTGAGCAGAACCAGCGTCGTCCCGTGCGCATCGCCGCCGCCGGAGCACTTGCAGGTAATCTATCACACATCGTTCAGCAGCTTAATTAGATCACGTCGAGAAAGAAAAAGCAGCAGCAGGAAGGAACTATTACCTCGCATGAAATCCTGTGAATGGTGTACGCAAGCGCTTCGAGCATGCCGCCGACCTCAACATGGTGCGCCTTGTCGTCCACCGGTTCCAGCTGCGCTTGTGGCGTCTGCTCAATGCCGGATCAAGAACACACAAGATTGGATCAAGCAACATGGAAGATGGGTCTAAATGACAAAAGGAGAGAGTACCACGATGACGGTAGGCGTAGCCCTCTGCAGCACGTCCTCCACGATTCGCAAGAGAGGGCGCGTATTGATGTCCCGGCCGTCGGGGGAGTGGGTGGCGAGGATCTGCTTCATCACCACGCTATCGTCCGAAGAGGAGAAGAGGTGGCGATCCGCCTTGATCATGTGCGTCTTCGCTGCTGTCGTCAACGCCATTGCTGAGGACAACGAGGACCAAATTCGAGGTGGCTGTGGAGTGCAATTGCCGGAACACACACGTATATATAGTAGCTAGGGAGGGGCGAGAGAGAGAGAGAGAGAGCACAAGGAAACACACAGAATAAAGATGGCAGCAGAACAGCTTCTTTGGACCCTAAAGCTCCAATGAACCGACTACCTTGCTTCACGGCCGGGACTTCGCAAAGATCCTTAAGGCACGAGACTATTCGATAGATTTGGGCGCATGTGGGGCACCTGAGCTGCCCTTTACAGTCCTAAAGCGAAGCCTCCTGATTCCCTAAGCTAATGCGCAGAGCAACCTCGAGCATCCATGGAGATGAACAAGCTCTGCATCAGCTTGGTAAGAAGATGAAGAGGCCTAAGAATAGTCCTGTGCTTCCGCTTCACATGTCAATTACAATAGTAGAAGATTAAGTTCTTTGCTCATGAAGTCTCTCCCAAGAACAACCTCAACAATCTCTGTATCAGCTTGCTGGGGAGAGTCAATGGCAGATGAAGGGGCCTAAGAAAAGTGCTGTGCTTCTTCTTCACATTAATTCATGTTACATTATACTGAAGCACTTTTTCCTGCTTTCTTCTTGCCATATGATTTGAAGTGACTGTGGATTGGCAGAGAATGATTCATGCAGAGTGGGCATTGAGAGGACATGCAACAAAAACTTGATACTGGAAATAGAGCAGGGAATATAATGCATGCATGGGGTCTACCTCTGTGATAAGAAATGCTTGGACAAAGCACTTGATGCAACATAGTAGATGAGCATCTAACTTTTGAGTAGAATGAATGATTGATGTTTGATCCTTTCTTCTGTCTGTTGTCAGTGATTGAAGGCACAGCGTCCTTTCTGAATCCATCATCTTGATAACATTGAATGAATTGCTGATCATGATTGTTGTTGTGAAGCATTAAAGTTGCGAGCCACACAGAATTCTCAGCCCATTGAAACAAGTAAATGATTCAGAATCCTCTGTGCCATTGGTACAGTTGTTTCTTCACTATACATACAAGAAAAAATTCCATATACAAGAAAATTGTAACAATTAAGATTCAGTTCAAAAGAAAATGAAAATAAGACAAGAAAAAAAACCATAATGGAGAGCTAATTAAAATTAAATGTTTCCTTTAATTCTCCATATATAAGATGGGTACGGTTCTCTTCTACAGTATCACAGAGCTCACATTGAAGCTGAATCATTCATCAGATATATGAGTAAATTTAGTCCAATAGAATAATTTAACTCCTTAACTCGATGAGTTTGAACATCTGATTAACATACTTAAATTGTTAATGATAGTATCTCCACCGAATTCTTATAAACTGATTGAAATCTCATCTCAGTGAGACCCAATCGAGGTGTTGTGACCCTCCTACTTTGAGTCAATTTAACTCAAGATTCAAATATAGCTCAAAGGTAAATCGTTTTATGGTGCATGTGAGATCTAACCTAATAGTTATACTCCAGTGATGTGCCTTAGTCATTACCAACAGGATTATGTGATTCTGCTGAGGATTGATAATGTTTTCTGCTAGTGTTTTGTATTTTTTGTTGACTTGCTATGATCAATTTAGATTGGGACTAACTATTCCTCTAGGAACTGTACAGGTCATGAGGTAGCTGCTTCAGCCTAAACCACTAAGAATAAGAGAGAGAGAGAGAGAGAGAGAGAGAGGTTTTTCATTCTCCTCTTCGAGCATGTGTCTTCGATAGGAGTTAATCTTCTAGTTAGTTTAGCTTTAGTGTTGCAATCGTTATACTTTAAAAAAATTTATTGATATCTCTATAATTATGAAAGTGAAAATTTTAATGTTTGGTGGCAGACAGTATTGGTGGTGACAAACGATGATATTGTTGGCATTGACGCCGACACAATTGTCTAATCGTCTCTAACGATAATAAGGTCCCCACTCATCGTGACGCCACTTGCCTCCACGAGGAGCATGTTATCGACCTCATCGTCGCTCGCCCGCATTGTTCTGTATCTGCGTTGATGTTGATGTAGTTATCGAGCGATAATTGTATTGATGTTAATGTAGATAGTGGTGGTTGCCATGGGATCTACGACGAGATGATGGTTGCCTCGCTGTTGACCCATTAAGTGGATCCTAGCCTTGATCCCTCCCCTTTTGCGTCTATGTCGGTACTGATATAGATGTCGAGTAATCCTTTCGTCGCTCGACAATTATGGGACGGGCAATGATGAGATTGGCGACACGCTTCTCGTGGAGGTAAGTGGCATTGCGATGTGAACATACTTTCTCATCATCGAAGGTGGCCAAGCAACTATATTGGCATCGGTACCAGCAACGTGTCGTTCGTCATCACTGATATCGTATATCATCAAACGTTAAAATTATCCTTTTTAATCTTTTATTTTTATATTTATATTGGTAAAACTGATATCGTTAAGGTAAATAGATCTAGATGTTTTACTTTCATAATTATAGAAATATCAATATAAACTTTTAAAGTGTAGGATTCGAAACACCTAACTATAGCGGATAATATGTAATTATCTCTATCAATAGTGATCGGTGTGAATGTCTCTTTTGTTCTAAAATAAAATATTAAATTATTCTTTTGTTGTTGTAAGTAGCAAATTGATAAATATGTTTCTTGAGATACTAATCCAGTTGGCATTGACATTAGAGTGTTTGTGGATAATCTTTTTCTATTAGAGTATCTCATCATATTAATGATTTATTCATATTCAATCTAATGTCATAATTAATTTTTTAATTTATTAGGTTTAAATTATAAAATAAAATACTTAAGTTCAAATTAGTGATATTATATACCTAAATCTTATTATTTAATTCAAATCATCTATCATAAATTTTTTTATATGAAATTTCTTTTAGGAAAGACTCAGAAAATTAAATTGATGAAGGATCAAAACTGAATAGAATTGGCCATTCTAATTATTGGAAGTGAGAATCGGAATTAGAATCGAACGACTCCGATTCGATTCCAAATCGATCAGAAAAAGAATAATGAATTAAATACTCATTAAAAATGATAAAATCTGTGCCTTCCGACAACAAAATAAATTAAAAATAAACAGTCCCGTTTTGACACTGAAACTGTCGATTTTAAAATCAGAACTGTCGGAATTGTTTCGATTCCAATTTTAAATTTCATTGTAACCAAAACTATCGATTGTGAGATCGGAGTGAGGATTGAGTCGGGGGCGATACGGAGGGAGGGAGCAAGGGAGGGAGGAGGAGACAGCGGCGGTAGGTGCATGTGGCGGCAGTGCGCTCCCCCTCGGTGTGTGACCTCTTGATGTGACCTTCTTTTGCTTGGTTTTCCCCACCCCCGACACCACCCGACGCGGCTTCGGCAGACCAACGGAGACTTCCGTCTCCCTTGTCTTGTCCTCTTTCTTCTTTTCTGACGATTCTTCTTTCTCTCTTTCCCATGCATCCATGTGAGATCTCTCTCTCTCTCTCTCTCTCTCTCTCAGAGGAACAGAGACTTAGAAAGGTCCGTAACGCAGCTTGATGTGTCTCCAACTATACTAGTTTTCCTTCCTACAGTTGACATTAATTACCACGCTAATACTCAAATAGGCGAATCTTTGACTCGTTCATGAATTCATTCATGTCAGCCAAGAGAGAGAGAGAGAGAGAGAGAGAGATCTGAGTTGAATGCTTCTTGAACGAACATTCGGGTTAGCGCGCGTAAAATGGTCAAACATCTGATGTGACCAAACAGATGGATTCAAACATCATGAAACAAACACATTCTACGCTTTCTTTCTCTTATTTGTTTCTTCGACAAGAACATGAAATATGATATATCTAAATATATCAACAGCTACCGACAAGAAAGTGTTCTTGTCATCAATGAGTTTGCGGTAGAAACCTCAGATATTAGATAGCTGTTGACGGATGTAGAATGGCAAAACAGGGACCTGTACTTGGAGATCCTACGTACAAACAAAGAAGTAGAGAGAGATCGCAATGGCATTGCCATCTACTCTCTTTCATGGGAGTAGAAATGAGAAGGAAAAATGAACTTTAGATCTCTATGAACAAACACTACGTAAAAGTAGTACAGTTTTGGCTCGTGTTGAAGCGACCGAGGGATCCAAGGAGAAGGTCGAGACCTGCTTGAACTCATGGATTGAACTCATTGTGTATCGGTCTTCGTCTACTTACTCGAGCGTAATCCTGATTCCACCACCAAGGCAGCTTCTCTTTCGTCGTCTGCGTCGCTCCTCGCCGCTGATCATGCAGTCTAATGGCGCCTTTCGATCCATCACAGCATAAGAATGAAACATGTCAAGACTTTGGATGATAAAAGCTCTCTCTCTCTCTCTCTCTCTCTCTCTCTCTACACTACATATGAAATGCTGCAGCAGATTAGGAAGAAGATGCTTTACCAGCTACAGTTTGTTGACGGGGAAAGGAGAGGCCTGCAAACATGAGGACAAGCATCCAAAACACCACTCTGGCATACCCCATATCCTCTCTCTCTCTGTGTCTCTGTTACTGGATTTAAATCAGAAGAACCACATAGACCAAACACAAAGACACACTCATCAGGTCAAAGAAAGGAGATTTAGGCAGGCAGAAACCCAGGCTTATAGGCTCCATTTTGTCCCTATGGCTTTATGGGTGGCTGGCTCCAGCCTCAGGCCTTTCAGTGATCATAACATTAAGTTTGTCTCTCTCTCTCTCGAGTTCTTCCAAAAAAATATAATCATCTCATGTGAGCTCCACTGCAAGAGAGGAAGCACATGGCAGCAGAAAGCTATTGGTCTAATGAGAAGACACAGTCAAAATGGAGGAAATTTTGGCTAGAGGATGGTAGGCCTAATAATTGGCTGTCACAGTATGGAAAGGCTTAAAAGAGGAGATGGGGGAGTCACAAGGATCAGTAGTCAAATGTTTCATGGCTGCACCACTGAGATATGTTGTGTAAGCTGCATAACTGAAACAAGACTGATGATTTCAATTAGCTTTGGAACACTTCATGATGCCTTGGAATGATTTCAATTAGCATAATTCAACACCTATTATATGAGTCTCCTTGGATACCCAAGAATTATGAACATTTCTCTTCAAAAAACAATGCATTGGATATCCAATCATAGATTTATATCGACACCTACTTTGGTTAGAACTCAATGCACCAAGAGTGAGTTATAGATTAAGATCAAGCCGAAAGACATAGTCCAATGTGAAGAACTCCATAGTTAGTCCAATGTGAAGAACTCCATTCTGTTCCCGAACAATTAACCTCTCATAGTATTGCGGCGAGTACATGTTAACACCTTTACTCTATCTTATTGTTTGTCCATCTTCTTCTTCTTCTTCTTCGTCCTCCTCCTCATAGCAAAATGATCAATGGTCGAATATACCAGACCCCTACCAGCTAGACCATGGCCTGACAGAGGTCCGATATAAAAAATTGAAAACCTTACATCTGATTATAGTCAAATATGATGATTAAAAGGATTATTCTTGTCCGACGAGACAAATTGAACAACCAAAAATATAAAAGCAAGAGCTCCTCTAATGTGAAGTAAATTTTGAATGACATTAGCTAGCTAGCTTTCTTGTAGTCATAGCATGTCACACATTCATTGATCTCATGCATTTGAGGATGTAACAAACATAGTTGGATCTTGGATGGAATGACATTACCTAAAGTTGCGAGATCGAAGAAGCTTCTCTTGTAGTGTCTTGATCTTGGACCGACTAATATCACCAAGGAACAAGATGAGTTTTTCTTAACATGAACCAGTCATAGAGAAATCTTGATCTCAAACATCGCCATGCTTGATAAAGACAAATGCATCATCCTAATTATAGATCGCTGCATTACTAAATTTTTGTAATGCATGCACATGGGAGATAAAAAACAAAATCAATCCGTACCCAACGGAGTGTCACCCTGACCAAATATATCAGGAATTCCTTCCCAGTTTCCACTCTCTCTTGCTTCCCAGTATCCACCCATGTACCGGTAACAGTCATCGTCGCCGTCTTTTTTGAACCACCTTGGTTGCCATCCCTTCTCCTGCAGCCTTCTTGCCTGTAAACAATATAGTTTTTGTTACAGGGAAACTTTCTTTAACAATAGAAAGTGAAGAGATCTTAATGCTCATTTATAAATTTGCTTTCTAGTTTTTGCAAGTGAATGATCTCCCTCATAAGTTCAGGAATGTCCATTGACGATAAATAAGTGAAAGAAAAACCACCTGACTCTCGAAAGCATTATCGAACTTGAAAGAAATGCAGAAGATTAAATTTGAGATGATGGGACCAGAGAAAAAAAAAATACCTGTCGTTGTAATTGTTCCAGCCTGAGTTTCTCTAGATTTGCCAGCTCGTATTCCCCATTCTCTAAATGTCGCTGATCAGGCCGTAAGCGGGAGTCGGTTGGGGGCAACTTTTCCATCAAGGATGGTCTCAACTCGTTTAATGAAATGGCAAATGGTGTGAGGTTGTATCGTGTTTGAGTTACAGACTTATCTCGCTCCCAAAGAAGAACTGCTTCTGACATCGGATCATAACCCTTCGGCTTTGTGCTTGGGTCTCCTAGCACATAATAGATGGCCTCATCCCACTTCCCCATCAACATTGCTACCTTGTTACCAGTTCTATTATCTTGAACAAAACCATGCACCTGAAAAATAAAGCAGACCTATTCAGCAGACAGAGAAAAAGAGAGCATACAAGTATGATGGCATAATAACTATGTGCTGCAATTTTTTGATAGTTGTGTAAAGATGTCACCCTTGGAAATGACTTGTTCAGTTTTTTATCTTGGAGGAAAAGTATACAACTTGTTTGGCATTATTGCTTTGCAATCTTTTTTCAATTATTTGTTACACAGGTATCTTATTACCAATTATCATGAGTACAAAGTTCATTGTTTGTGATTTTGTCATGGCTGAAACTTCCAAAACAAGAATTCTGCCCCTGGTAAGAATAATAAACATTTGATTCAAGTAACAAGTCATACATATCGTGTTTTGCATGTAGTTACTTTCCTTACACAAAAAAGATGAATCAACATGAAATGCTCTGCTGAGTTGGATGATCCGATTTTCTCGTTTAGACTTTAGAACAAAATGCAAAAACATATAGAAGAAAAGTAAATAATAGGTGAAGATTTAGAGACAGTGATATAATGAAATAGTCTAGTGTCAAAGGCATTGTAGGGTAGAAACATCTGCATGTTCCACGTTTACTACTGAAATACCTGATGGGGATTACGGTCAATAATGGACTGTTCTTTGAACTTTAGCTTGCAGGAATAGTCGCCGCTGCCCTTTATTCGCATAGTACCATAATGATCGCAATAGATTTTTCCAATAATTATGTTATATATTGAAGTAGTGACTTTACTCCACTGAAATGTCTCCCCATCTTCAAACTGAAGAGTTAGAATCCCAATAGGATCAAGCTGAATGGATCTACCCCAAAACTTTCCTTTTAAATTGGAATCACCCCAGAAATTCCATCCTCTACCTTCACAGTGACAAGCAACAACCATTGGGTGGTGACTCACCTGAAAGCAGTGGACATGTTAGTCACTACAACCAGTGATATGATACCTACTATGATGTTCTAGTGCTCCAAGCACAAAAGAGAATCATATTTGTGGGATAAAAGATAAGAATCATATGGAAGAAACAGAAGTCAAAATGAGGTCTCTTGTTGCTATCCAAGTATACATGAATTCTAGGAGAAGCCATAATCGATGATAATTAGTGTGTTAAGCAACTGCTGAAAAGGAGAAACTTTAACCTTCTCAGAGAAGAAGCGAAGACCCTTATCTGGAAAATCAGCTTCATAAGTTTCCCCAAGCAGAGGGTTAAAGGGTTTGCACTGTCGGCCTTCTGTAGAAGCATATCCAGATACAGCAAAAGCGGCAATGTGAAGAATCCTCATTAGGCTGTTTCCCTGCATTATATTCAGCACATCCATTTGTTATCACAATTTGGAGCACCAAACTCTATAGCCAATTACATATAACATAACATATTCCCCATCAAATCTCAGTTCACTATTCAGAGATAGTCATAACCATACAACTCATTCTAAATAACATTAGTTTTAGTAGGATGGTGACTTATATAGACAATGTAGTGAAAGTGCTACTTAATAGGATACTGTCAATTATTGTTTTGAATTGGTTCAAATGACATTTGAAAACAAGACTTCACTATATAACTTGTGATCACAATCATAGTTCTAATCACAGGCTGCTTGTATTATTATCATCAATAGGTATTCACAATCACCATTTTGCAGGACTAGGTAACAAAATAAACAAATGATTGATCCAGATGATTATGGCAACAGCTCAGAACTACACCATGTTTTTCATAAGATTCATTGAATTCCAAGCTACATCTGGTCATACATGTGGTGGGCTACTAAGAAATAAAATTTGAGAAGAATCAACAGAAGATTTGATAGAATTTCTATACTGACTGCCAATTACCACATATAATTCCTTTCATGAGATGACCAGAAAATGTTGGAACATATCAGACCAAATTTTACATCAACAAGCATAGGGAAGACTTCCATGTAACTGCAAGCAGAAGCATATTTCAATATCGACAAATAGTAAAATAGTACTGAATGAATTTAAACTAAAATTTAGGTTTAAGATCTAGTTCTAGAGGGACCAGACACTTTGATGAAGCTTAGTCAATGAAGACCATAATTCAATATCGACTATATCATTGAACCAAAGGGTGTCAAAAATAACCAAGCAGATGATCTTGTACTGCAGTAAGGTGTTTTGTGAAGAAGAATTTCACAGAGTACATCAATGCATGCAATGCAAGATATATGAATTAGTTTCAGTTGGCATTCTTTGGCCAGTGATTTCTGCAATGGATATAATGCACATACGTTAGGGAAGCCCTTGGAGCAGCAGTAACAATGCTCCACCATGACAAAGGGCTTCATGGTTTAATCCAGGAAATCCAAATAAGGAGGTAAAAAAATTTAAGTTTTCACAAGAAAAATTGGGTAGATAATCTGCCTCCATTTCCTTTAGAAAAATTGAAGCTTTCACAAGAAAATCAAGAGAAAAAACAGCATCTAAGCAATCAGAAAGAGTATAAATATCATAGTTGAAATAATATAAACACACCTGCCTGCCCCATTCTAATGCTCGATCAACCAAGTCCGAATATTCCAGATCCTCAAAACATTTCTGCAAAGAAGAGAGTGGCTCATTGAAGTAAACAGGGAGACAAACTCCAGAAAGATCCTTCCCAATATTCTCTTTGATTATTGACCACAAACCAACAGGTTTTTCTTTTTCCTTGGGCTCAGGCAATTTGTTCCTCCGTTTGACATAGGGATATTCCAAAGTTCTGACTCCTAGACCAATATCTTGCGTACTATCAGGAAAGCTGGATTCAATGCCAAATGTAGACCCAGCAACACCATTACCCATAAGTTCCCGACTACGGTATGAACCACTTCTCAGTAACTCAGAAGATAAGAAGTCTCTAGTATCAAAATACATTCCATCATCTTCATCTGTTTCCACATCTGCCCCCTGACTTTCATTGTCTGCTTCTGAGTCAGTTGCAGTCCCCTCCGATATGACTGAATAGAAGTCTGAAAAGAAGTTAACAAATCTCCTCAGATAGAAGAAAATAAACAGTCAAAATCTTCAAATTTTACATAAACCATAAGAAAAAAGGTTAGTTGGAGTCTACAGAAGATAGCATGCGAGATTCACACAAAGACAGCAACTAAAGGAATATTGTTGATGAAGGATCTAAACATTATTTTTCTCTAGCCAAAAAGAAATCATCACTAAATGCATGCCTCTCGATCGTCAAATTCCCATATTTCTTCAATGGAATATAGAAGGATTGAAGAACTCATTACCATATGAATTTTGATGAAATCAATTATTGCAATTTTGTGTAAGTTTGCTATTCCTTATATTTTAAATATTTTTTATTAATTTGGTGAATCAGATACTAAAATTAATTATATAAAAGGAAGAATTCGAAGAATTCATTGGTTGGCAACTTGATATGCGGAGGTTATATTGTACATTTTTTGTGTATCAAATATCAATTATGGTAGTTAATACCATTTTTTGTATTCAATATCATAGGCCTCCAGGAAAATATCATACAAAAACCAAGACTGATCCCAAACCAGAAAGCTTGGAAAAAGTAAAAAAAGCAAAATCTAATTGAGTAATTTGACACCAAACCTCCAAAAAAAATCCAAATATTTTGGAGTAAAACCAAACAATGTTTGACATTAGATATTATACACCTATTCTTAAAGTTTCATATTGACATCAGTACTCAAGGTAAGAGTAAATACTACTAACCACTGAATCTTCCATTTACCAATCCAAGATGCGCTTCACGCTCCTTTGTTTCATCAACTACTGTAGTTTCCAGCTCAACCTTCTCTGTCTACATGAAGAAAACACAAGTAATAAGGGAGAACATACACAAGATTGATACTAGCTCTTCATTCCACTTCATTATAAATCCATACGAGGATAGCATTAGTGACAAAATATGTACTTATAGTCAATGAAATATTGATAAAACATATAATGATCATGTCATATCATGTCCTTTTCTCGCCATGTTATTGTATCTGTGTTGTATCCAGATTCCATTTCCATGTCTGGAGTTCCTGAAGAGAAGAAAGATGAGAAGAAGAGAAGAGGAGAGAGAAAGGAGGTGGAGGGGACTTACGGACTCTACCCTTGCCAAAAGGGCCAAAAGTTATCATGATCAAGAGAATTCCTTCCCACCACTCAATGCTCATTACTGTCATCAATTTCGATCACTCCCCTTGGTGTAAACTGCTCATTCCCCCTTCACTTACTGATTATCCAGATAACTCATGCTTAGCCAAGTCCCCAGTCTCTTCACAGGAAGAAAGATAAAAGAAAAAAAAAAGAACAAAGGAAAAAAGAACAGACAAGAAAAGAAATAGAAAAGTAGAGAAAATAGATGAAATGAGAAGGAAAAAGGATATAAAAATAAAAAGGAAGGAAGGTAAACAAAAAGAGAAGAAAAGAGAGACAAATTTGAAATGAATAACTTCAAAAGAAAGATAGAAATTATGAAGATAAACAATTAACATTAAATATGAAGCAGATAACATATCACAAGCATATAAAATAATGTATAACAAGTAATACATATACAAGAGACTAATATACAATATCAGGTTCTTAAGACAAAAATCATACTATTGAATCAGTATTGGCAACCATAAAATGCTTATAGATGTAAATAGTATCATGGAAACACAAATTATAATGATTTAAATTTTAAGGGTATAACTAGATAACTAATAGAATTTATAGGATTTTATTATCAAAACATTAATTAAATGTCCACTTTATTAATTGAATCCTGCAATACTTAGAAATTTCTGAAAATAGAATTTATAGGATTGTGTTCTCAAAATATTAATTAAATGTCGACTTAATTAATCTAATCCTGCAATAATTAGAAAAAACTGAAATGAATAGTAAAACTTACGATGATGGTAAAACTATAGGTGTTGGACATAGAAACTTCAAGAATTTCCTAAATTTCTAAAGTAGTCATTAGTCAATCTTTAGTTAGAAAGTAAAAATGAAAATTATGAGTATATATAGATGATTGGTGATATTGTAATGTTCGTGTTTTAGAAAGCAATTAACTAATGGATCCATGGAATGGATAGTAAAGTAGAAACATGTTGCTAACTTTGACTATTAGATCATATATGTTTTTCCAACTTTTACAGTTTGAATTGTTATCTATCTTTTCATTTGAAATTTTAAAACTTTTGGCCAAAATCCTGATTCTCCAATCCAAATCCACAATTTGGCTAGTCTCATTCTTGATTTTTCTGATGGTTCATCATGTAGAAACATCATATGATATTGTTAATGGTTCATTTCAGGCCCACTAATGCATGAGTTGGAGTCATATAAACCAAACCTTTGTTTCAAGAAACCTCAAGTACAGAGTGCAGATTTCCAATTTAGGTGTTGGATCTTTTGATTTTGAATTTAAAAGTGCAAGGGTCATGAATATGATCAAGAGTTCTAATTTTATTTTGGTAGAACATATAAACACAATTAAAGAAATTGTCCAAACTAACATATTATAAATTCATCAAACACAAAAATTGCCTAGTTTTGCTTGCATGTATGAACAAATATGTGTATATACAAGCATATAAAATCATAATATCGATCCACTGGAAGTCGAGAATTAGTTAAAATTCAATAGTATTTAAAGCTTGAACTAGCTATTTCATTGCGATGGAAATTAAGTACATAACTAAATAAGTACAAAATGTAGAGTGAAATACAACAGGACCAACAATAAGAGTGTAGCATAAAGAATCTAACTAAAGACAAGTGCCACTAGAAAGATAGTGCAGCGCCTCAAACATCAAACAGAAAACAAATGCAAATCAAAAGCTAAAGACAGGAACAGAAGAAGGTTCCAGCCCGGTCTGTGCCTGAATGCAAGAAGAAGCTCCTATTATTAGTAAGCGTGGAAATTAACAGAAAACATGGACTGGAGAACACCACTATAAATTATGTTGCATTGACACAATAAATTATGTTGCATTGGTGGTTTTATCCTCAGAATTGTTTAACAACTACCTGCAAATAATTGAAACAAATGCCTAGCATTCTTAGAAGAAAAGTTACCTCCAATTTACTTAATGTGTCAAGCAGAATAAGATGCTTTTGTTGCAGAGACTTTAATTTATTCTGCAGTTCAGATATTTCAGATAGCATAATAGACTCACATTCTCTCACTGTTGCTTCACTCAATCGTTCCAGCAGCAATCTTTCTCGTAATTTCTCAGTCGAGACAGTAACTTCTACCATAGGTTCAAATTCATTACTTGTCAGCAGACGAGCAAAATGCTCCTTAGCAGAAAATAGAGCTTCAATCCATGTGGTTCGATCTTCTCTAGAATTACACCGTAAATGTAGAGTTTTAGTTCCAGTAAATATGTACAGCCTTTTATCATCTGACTTGCTAGTACGAATTGAAGAAACCTGAAAAATGATATTCACTGCTCACTTGTTAAAGTAATATACATGCAAGACAGCAAGAGTAGACAACTTAACTAGTAAAGGATGGTTTAAGAGATCCAGTCAAATACTACATTGAAGGGGCATTGAATCAAGGGTAGATAATGAGCAAATATTACAGTCACCTCATTCTATCACCACTGATGAACAGTTTTCACTTTAAAAAATAATTAAGTTTTCACTTTCAGACATCTGATACCACACCTAAATTTAGCAAGTTTACACATATCTTTCTCTAGATCCTTGAACAAATAGATAATATGCCATTGAACAAATAGATAATATGCAACTTTTACCATGTATGTGATTCTATATTGTCCTGCTGGAGAATGAAGACAAACTTATTCCAAAAGAGCTAATCCCATAAATGCAAGACTATGTAGCAGCACTGTAGTTACTTGCAGCATGCCAGCACTGTTCCAGTCAACATTGAAAATAGGCTTCGAATAGGGCACAGAATAAGAACAACATAGATAAAAAAGACATCATGTAAGAAATTCTTGCAGTAGAAGTTATTGCCATATCTGGGCACTACTAAAATTATCTTAAATTTATGATTACTACCAAATTTCTTTTATTCACATCTTCCTGGCGAAATATTTTAGACAAAAGATTTTTCAGGCGTTAGGATTGACCTTGTTCGCAATGATGTGATGATCGAGTAAATTTGAAAGGGAACATACTTCCTTCAGAAAATTAACGTTGCCATCTTTCTTAGAAACTGTCTACAAGTTGGACTAAAAGAAAACTCTAATTTCATAGTAATCAAACTTGTTTGTTGGAAATTAAGCCACATCAAACATTTCAGATAATCAGCTTGCACAAACAATATCCACATATTGGTTATGTCTGTGTTACCCAGACATTTTTTGATCCAATTGCCAAAAGACTACATATTTTCTCTCAAAAGCTGAATTTTTTTCAAGCCAAAATCATGATTTCTTTTTTAATTGGCAGATATCAGAAAAGGAGAAATGTTCCTAAGATATAAGCAACAGAAGCAACAACCTCTTCTCATGAGGAAATCATCCCAACTTTTCTCAAAACAGCAATGATTTTACTTTGTCATGTCACAACATAAAGTAGGATGTTATACATATTACATTTGCTCGCCACAATTTATAGCCACAGTGTCATGTACAAGAAAAAAAAAAAGCAAACAAGATGATTCACATGCAGTAGACAGCATTTTGACCAAAGAATCATCTCAAGAAAAAAGACGAACTATTCGATAGGAAATAATAATAACAATAAGAACCAAAGAGAAGATTGAAACCTCACCTTCAAATGTACCTCCCCAAATGGCTTCCAGTGCTTCGTGGCTCCCTGCCGCGCAAACCCGACATTCCCCCACTGCTGCTCCTTCCGCACCCGTCTGAGCGACTCTTCCCCGATGACCCTCACTCCGGCCTCAGAAGCCACCGGCCCCATCAATATCCTATCCGGCCCGCGAACCTTGTAATAAGACAGCACCCCGTCCTGCAGCACGAACCACCGGGATCGCCACCCCTTCCCGAAGTTGACCCACTTCCAAAGAACCCCCGCCACGGCCCCGTTCACACCCCTCCCATCCCCACCTTCCACCACCGCCGCCGACTCCTCCGCCGCCTCGCGGCACGCGGCGGCCGCATCCGAGTCGGGCAGGATCGCTGGGGCCTGGATCAGCCTCTTGCTGGACGAGTTCCTGGTGGGACTTTCGGCCCCAAGGGCGGGCTTCGCCGACTTGAGCGCCACCACCGGCGACGGGTTTCCGCGATCCCCCCGCTCCAGAGACACGGGCGCAATGCAGCACAGAGGATTCATCTCCCGCTCTCCCCACCGCCCAAGATCCAATATCACCGGAAATTCCACACAGGGAACGACGATCAAGAACAGAATATCAAGAAAAGATCACATCTTTCTGAATCCAGATCAAATAAAAGAAAGGCCGCCGTGTGAGGGATCCGCGGAGCGACATGATGATGGCACATCCAGATCTGAAGAAGTGGAAGAAGATGAAGATGACAAAGAAGAAGAAGAAGAAGAAGAAGAGAGAGAGAGAGAGAGGGTTGTGTTGTATTAGGAATAATAGGTATTAACTGGCGGAGGAGGGAGAAGAGAAGGAAGGCAATTAAGCGGAGGCGCGGCAGATCCATTAAATTCGCTGAAGGGCGCAGCAGAAGCGGCAGCACTCGGCAGTGGCAGGAAGCAGACGAACCCCCCAGTGGCTCGGCTGTTGGTTCGCCACCACGGTTCGCCTGCCAAAAGAGTCGCCCACTCGCCGAGTGTGCCGACTTCCGCGGACGCGGACACGCGTCGCTCTGGCCCGTACAAGGCTCAACAGCCAAGGGGGGCGGGGCCCGAGTTCGAAATCGCCGTTTCTTCTAATGGGACTCGCAAAGGCCCCATCGTTCCTTATCCAACCCTTTAACGGCAACCTGGCCGCAGTTGTTTACAGCAGTCACTGGTCGGGTAGACAATAGGGTGACGAATTGTGCGTGCATGGAGAATTGGGTCGGGGAGATCTGCGGAGCGCCACGTGGAGGCAGGAAATCGGGGGCGCGGCATGTGACGGGGGGCGGTGGGTCCATGTTTGGATTCGGGCGGTGGCCAGGAACAACGGACATGAGTTTGTCTTTATCTGGAAGCAATAAAAGAAGATGTTGGATATGGCAAAATCTAAAAGGGAGTCATAAATTTCGCAGGTGTAGTATGATGAGTGACGTTACCTCTCTTCTTGTCCAATATCTGAAGGAGATTTATGATTGTCGTTGATGCCAGCCATCATGACCGACGAAGTTTATACGCTCATGTGATAGTTTTCTTCTTTTCACAAGCAGACAGCATCGGCCATGGTCTCAGTAGACAGATGTAAACTTGAGCATTGAACCTTAGAAGATCCTTCAACACCTGAACTGCACCTGAGAGACCGCTACTAACTAAGTTCTAATGATTGGCTACCACACTATAAGGCAAACACATGTATGAGGCCAATTTATCAATGATGAACACCAAAAGAAGCACTCATCTCAACTATATCTTTCTCTTGACTCCTAAAATTGTTTATTTAGAACTTACAAGAAATGTCCAATACAATAATGTAGTTGAAGTCCAAATCCTGACATTGTTTGAAGAAAATGTTGATAAAGTAACTGACTGACTACTCTTGGCAAACACATATATCCTCTGTATTTGCCAGCTTTCTATAGTTTCTTCTCTCTCCTGCTGATACATCATATGGGATTTCAGACCATGTTGGGCCTTTGTGGGAGGAGGAGGTTATAAAACTTATCCTTTAAAAAGAAGTTCCGGCCTTTGCTATCAATAGCCTTCTTCCACCCACACCATCCACCATTCACAATCTTCTTAAGATCATCGTTACCTGTATAGTGTGGATCGAGGATAAGAAATGCACAATCACCACTTGCTTGGTTGTAGTCGACTCCCAAAAGGGTATACGCCAGAACCCCACCACCTGCATATTTTATTAGGGTATAAGAAAAGGTTTCAAATGGACTAAATCGAGTAAACGTGCGACCAAGTTATCCTATTTGATCGGTTTTACCATCTTTAGACTAGTTAAATCTTTTTGTGTCTTTGTACTAAGCTGAACATCCAACCTTATCTTGGAAAAGAAGGAAAAGTAACAAGAAATCAACATAAGAGCTCATCATGGTAGAAACTTTCAGGTAACTTGTAATTTTTGGTAGGTTCTAACAAAAAAAGAGATGTCACATGGTCCCATGGTATTTTAATGACTATCATGTTTGTTTGAAAGATGTGGCATAATCTGACTTGGATAGAGGTCATTGATGCAGATAACCATGCACTCAGAATGTCCTTTAGATCATCTTTGCCTGTATAAGGACTTACCAATCATTACTGGAGTTCCCTGCGTCTGAAAATGAATGGAGAGCTCCCTACACTTCTCTGGAAGCTCTTCCCCAGATCTCACATTAATAATTTTACAGCTGACCTGCAAATAAAAGTCTTCATTACAAGTTAGAAGAAAAAAGTGCCCAATTCTCTTTGGCTGCAAATGATGGGATTGTCAATTTGTCATCACAGGATATCAACAAGCACAAGTACAAGAACCTGCAACTTGATACCTACCAGAATAAAGTTCTTGCCACCTATTAAAATACCAAAAATAAAATAAAATCTGTGAATATTCTTTATGTATATATCTAACCTAATCACAAAGTGATACCACCAATGTCATCACAAGTGCCATTAAACCACTAATCTAATTAATCTAATCATAGACATTAAACTAACTACATAAGAGACAGACTAATGGCAACTGAATCCTAAAGCTGCAAACAATAACTACAGGTCACGATAACCAGGTCTCTAGACAACTTGATTTTACCTATCTTACCAAACAAATTGTGAAAATTTCAAACTCAAATGTCCATGGTTATGACCTAAAATAGTGAAGAAACAAAAGTAGATAATCCTGATCAAATAGAAATTACCAAATCAAAAACCAACTAAGCCACAAGATAGCTTCATATGGCTCCAATTTTTTGATCAAATAGATATTACTAAATCAAAAACCAACTAAGCCACAAGATAGCTTCATATGGCTTCAATTTTCTCTCAGGTCCTGATTCCTTTTATTGCTCAAATGTCATTCTCTCCACCATTGTGAACAACATAATTTTCTTCTAGCCCAACTGAATTACTAACTTGTACGCCAAATATATAGTGACAACAAAGTTTTCTTCAGTTGCAGAATTCATTTTTCTTAATAGTCAATAACCAACCAAAGAATATTTAGAATTTTGCTGTTTTATGTAAAGAGTACAAATCTTACTCCAAGAAGTTTGTCCAAAACATAGCTTAACTCAATAGCTCCAATCCATTCGCGTGATCCAACAAAAGATGGCTCCTTATCACCCATGTCAACAAGAGCCTGTTGAATTTCCCTGAAAGAATTGTTGGCAAATACTGTATAAGAACAGTTAAAAGAGATCCAATTATTATCAAACTAATGTAGTGCATTCCCATAAAAGAAAAATGGACTCGATGTCATCATATGAATACAGAATGTTGAAAAGAAGAAAGTAAGTTGCCAATTCACATAAGAAATACTATTCAGCGGAAAAGTGTTGATGATTTTTCCAAACCTGTGTGAAGGAACTCCTATGGATGCATATTGTTGAAGTCGATACCAGGATATGATAGTTTGCAAAGAGCGATAAGCACATCCCCAGCCCTATTATTATCATTTCATTAGTACCAAAAAATTGAAACTGGAAATTATAAAAGAAAAAAATCATGTAAATTTTTCATAAAATATGTTTTGCAAGATGCATATGGCCACAATATATAGAAAATGGCCTGTCATGGCCCTTGTGGGTCCAGCATTATTATTAAGGCACTGGCTTAACATGAGCTGCAACATGGACCCATGTGCTAGTGCCATGCCATTCCATGTTTATCATGTGAAAAAACATGGGGAAGGTAACAACATGGACTCCAGCCTAATGCCATAACCTATGGGGATAAAAATACAAATTCATATAGGCCATCCATGTACAAATTATGAATTTTGAAACTCGTAATGAAAGAGTCATTACATTGTCATCAAAACCATAGAGGAGGTAATGATAGTATTCATAAGATCCATCAATCAACGAGATAATGCCTCCAGAAACTGCAGAATGCACTCAAGTAAGAAAGTCACAATGAACTCAAGAAAAATATAAAATAAAAATAAAGATTACTGGCATTTAAAAGTAACAGAATACTAACCCCCACTAGTTGGAACCTCAGTGTGAACATTTTTAAGCAACGAAGAACCTGTTAGTTGTGCACAAAATGAGTTTAAGGTTCACTCTTTCAAATGAACAAAAACTAATATATGATGAAAAACAAAGACATTAGAAATTTGAAAGCACTGAGGATGCTAAAATCCTCTTTCTCAACATTTAATAAGCACCATATTTCACTGAATGGGTGTCCTTGGTGTTCTTCATGCCAAAACTTAAAGCATTAGCAATCCGGAGTAGAGGACGGTCTAAGGGTAAACCCAGTCTTGAGTGCAAAGATCTCCTCATTTCACCTAAATTATTTAAAAATTGCCACTTATGTAAATGTTAATAAGCATTGAGATTTGCAAGTAAGAATCTATAGAGAAAGTAACCATACTGCAGAAAAAAATGCAAATGTTTTACATATGAATGAGCCACCCTCAATTCTATTACCTTGTTTCATTTCAGTCTCACCATATCTAAGATCATAGATAGCTGTTACTGGATGTAATAGCTCAGGTGGAAGAAAGTGATATGGACAAAGCTGCATATCGATATATTATGAGAGATTAATCATCAATGAATGTAAAATAAAAGAACAGTGCATGTCAAACAACTTAGTGTATACAGATATATGCACACACATTTCTACATACATCACCCAGGCAGCCTATGTTTGAGCTTGGACAGGATGCAAATTGAATTCTCGAAACCAGACTTCAATTTGAGCTACAGCAGAATCATATTTTAACCATTTTGGAAATGTCAAATCCCAAGCGAGAATTACTTGCAGTTGTTCAGAATCCATTGGGAAAAGGGAAAAAATGAGTGTTAAAAAAATAGTAGTATTATAAATAGAGCATGGCAGGCACATAGAGGTGGAAAGAATTCAAAAGGATTAAGGGTAAGGGGTGACATTGCAGGCACCACAAGCCCAAAATGGACCATAGATGTAAAACATTATGATCATATTATCAAATAAATCAAGTGAATTATCTGTCACCAAACATTCATATATTAAGTAGAACTTATCATATAAGTTTCATGTTAAGTGACGATTGTGATAATTTTACGGAGATATATTTTCTTCCATTCACTTGACATACTTTGCTTCTTCATATCATATGATTTAGGGCATGGTAAAAGAAGTAAATTGATTCATGTAGTGGGGTTCGATTTAAGTTACAATGAACTTTTAGGCTGCTGTGCCACAACGGATTGTGATAGCAGCTGCCGTGGCTTCATTAAACCTGCACTACTCTAGTTTTGTCATACAGCATCAGAAAATTCATTGAGCAGCACCTAACGCAGAGCCAGTAGCCACTCGACCACAATGGACATTATTTAGTACAATGGGAGAAATCAAGCTACATTAGCTCTATTGCAACTCAAAGAAACTTCTATACTTATCCTGTTATCTTTGTACTGATTTTCATAACTAATTCTACTAGCTGATTTACTGAGTCAAAAAAGTCAAAACAAAGTCCTATGTTCTCAATATGGGTACAATCAGAAAAGCTATTTTACTATTATGATTCATATTTTGAAAATTCTAGGTGACTCTTTCGGTGGGATGGGATGAAACTAAACTATTATTGATGGGATGAAACTAAATTTCTCCAAAATCCCAAATATATGAGAATTGTATGCCTTTGATGGCTTAAAATTGATATTTTTATCATCACAAAAATTAGATTAGATATCTCCCTGGAAGTTGATGTGCACGGTGTCAAAATTTATGGAACAAAAAACGATGCATGTGACAAGCAATTGGCAGAGACAACGGAGCTGAACAGCTGATTAAACTGAAGAGAAACATTACCTGGGGTTGTTGTGATAACAGCTCTGGTATGACAGCCTTCTTGATACTATTTAGCTGATCAATTAATCCAGGTATAACTAATTTAGATAGAGCAGCAGCTATGGTAAAATCTTCAGACGCATAGCAGAGGACATCTAGCTTGAAATTAACATTTAGATTTCTTGCATATTCAGTTGCTGAAATGAGTGAGCATTGTCAATGAAACTACAGAAACACAACAGCTTCAGGAAAATAGATAAAAGAACAACCTGGAAAATACTCGGCAACTGGAACAGCTGATTTACAATTATTTCTGGATTGGTTGGATAGAACAGCTATTTGGATAGCATCTGCATTCTAACAAATAGAACAGTCAAACAGATGGAATTGAATGCCTCTAATGCATGATTTAAATAACATAGAAGTACAGAAAACACAAAAATGATAACAATATAGAACATGCAAAGATATCTAAGTAGGTAAGTAATGTTGTACATGAATTTTCTTTTATTTCTTTTTGCAACAGCAATCCAATGCAAATGATAACAAATGAACTAGATGCATGATTTTATAGCAAACCTTAAATGGTCTGGCATCTAAGCCTTTTACATTAAAGGGATGTTGAAAAAAACCAAAAATAAGGGGGAGGATGTTTACCTAGAATCTTAAAGTATACGTTCAGAACCAATACTATTTCACAAAACAACAACGATCACAAATGCATTTGTAGATATCTAAAATTACCTCTCTTATTGTTGATGATGAAATGTTCTTATCTTTCAAGTGAAAATGTGAACAAGCTAGATCCTTTGCACCAGATTCCTTCATACTAGCCTTCAAAAGCATGGAATCAGAATGATCTGGTTTTGAATCCAACTCCATACCATGCAAAACAATGGATCGAGATAACTCATCAGTATCAACGTTTGACCCTTCAACTAGGTATGCAACATATGGATCTCTTAGTTTGGCAGCAGCCTCGTCAACCAATGATGAAACAATCTCTGCAACATCTGATAATATTTAAAATATAACATGTAAGCTGATGCCAAAAAAAGGGTAAAATCTTTAACATTTACTTTTAATTTTAAAAAATAACAAACATTCAATTCAAGAAGTCTAATTTCACATGCATACTGCCTGCTAAGAATGTTGGGATAGATGTGTAGAGTTACCGAAAAAGATACGAAAAATATATATTTTTATCCGTGAACAACTAGGTATTATTTCGATAGAAGATAAGATGAAAGAAAATAGTTTAAGATAATATGAGCATGTGCTTAGGAGACCTCCAGATGTGATAGTTAGAAGAGATGAAACGATTAATGTTAGTAATACGAGATGAGGTGAAGGAAGATCTAAAAAGACCTTAATAGAAACTATAAATAAAGATTTAAGTACTCTAAACTTCATTAAACATATGATTTTTTACAGATCTCAACGGTGGCAAAAAATCTATATAGCCGACTTCAAATAGTTGGGACTTACGACTTTGCTGTTGCTATTGTTGGTGTTGCCGCATGCATACCGCCAAATAGTAATTTCATGCTGCACTGGCACACACCCAATACACAAGGCCTCATATAGGCACCGTGCTAGCAAAGCACATGTAGGCACCATATATAATACTTGGGTTGTACAATAACAAAGATAAAAATTTTGGCGATAGATATAATTTAATTACATGATTAAAGAAATCAGCCATATTTAGAGGGAACGATATCAGCCAGAAAATTCACTCTCTAAAAAGACCATGTCCCATAATTCTTGTGCATTAGAGCCATAGACCAATGCTCTTAATTGGCCTTGGCCTTCTCAAAAGAACAATCAATATAAAAAGCCTCTACACATGCAATCCTGACCGGATAGAACAAGTATCTTAATAAGGTTATGCATTTGATGAAAAGTTACAACCAGTTTTTAGGGGACAGAATTCATTACCACATATTTACCTCCATGAAAAACTCAAGGCCCGTGTTGGTATGACTTATCTTCATGATTTTTTTTATCAAAATAAACAGATAAGTCAGAAGCATCAAAGACATTTTCAATGAGCCTCGCCTTAAGATATAATGCAAAGATGGTGTTCCAGATGAACCAGAAAAGGATTCAAATCTAACCCAAATCAATCTCCAAGTGGATGGGAAAAATCTAGGAATACAGGGTCACCAATTTCCATTTGACTTACCCAATTTAACGTCTTAGAGGTCATTTATTTTAGGTTTTCAACTAACCATGTCAATAACATTGGTAATCTAAATTTAGTTTAACCTTGTCCTAAAGTTGGATCATATCTTTTGTGGCCCCCTCAATTTTCAGTTGTATTAAAATACGAACCCACTCTGAGGGGAAAAGGCTTGGATGATAATGAGTTCAACCTTCTAGATTTACATGTCCTGAACCAAATTAAAATACTAGTTGGATAGGTATAGCAATAAGTGGACTAGGTCCGACCAGTTTTTACCAGTTGGACAGCTAGGAGGTGACCAGGCCAAGTTAATCCATCCACTAGTGGTGTATACTGACTGAAACTGATAGTTTTTGGTCCTATTCATTTTCTTCCCACCGAAACCAACCAGTATAGGCCAGTATACCAATCAGTGTCACAATACCATACCAGTTTGATGACCAGCCGATATCTGCAACAGACTGGAATTAAAAACCTTGGGTACAATCATATAAAAGTACAGACATAATGATTTTAGATTAAAAAAAATTATAGTTCTTGCTCATCTAGGACATAAAGATGATGAGAGAAATCAATAAGATGGATTTGCTTTCTAAGATGAGAAGACAATACTTCAGGACATATTAGGCATGCAAAAGAGTTTCAAATAACTGCTTGAAACAAAAAAAAAATGCACCTGATGTTTTATCAAGAGGAACAAAAACAGGCAACTTCAATTCCAGCTCACATCTGAGTAGACAACCTTTCTCCCAGACATATGTTTCAGGATTATCTTCAAAAACAACTGTACTAACTGCTTCCATACTTTCCACATTTGTAGAATGTGAGACAAAGAAATGAATGTCATCAGTTATTAAATCAGTCACAGCACCTATTAGATCACAATCTCCATCACCAAAAAGAAATTTTCTCATTTTACTGGAAGCCTCAACTGCCTTCCAAGCACATTTCTCCCAGTTTCCATCGCCGACAAATAATGCACCTATAATATTGAATCCTCTTAAAAGTAGCATCCTAATTTCATCTGCAAGAACAACATGCAGAAAACAAGTCAAACAAGACCTAATACTAAAATTGCAATTTGAAAATAATAATTTAAAAAAATGTAATTAAAGAAATGGAACTCTCATGATCACAATTATGAAAATAAAGTGCATGCAACCTGATTATCTTTAAACATACACACATGAAACTTCAGATAACCATTAGCCAATAAATTTATCTGAACCAAAATGTGACAAAACAGAAACTCACGAGAAAGAGAACATACATGTGCCTTACAAGGACAAAATAAATAATAAAACATATTGCTAAAGCACAAAACCTCAAATAAATGTCTCTGTTGTTATGGTATGCCTCAATCATCAGGTGATTCTTACCAAGACCTCCTCAAATCCTCATCTAAACCAGACAATATATATGATAAAAATTAAAAGAACAGGTATGTTTATGAACTTGTGTTGTTCAAAGGCTGCAAATTATGATACAAGGTCTCCCAAAATAACCATCAGATAATACCAGTGGTTATGATTAATACAGCACAGACCAATGGAGGGAGCAGCTTGCATGTGAGTTGGGAAAAAGACAGTAAATGTTTTCTAAAATGTCAATTTTTGCACTTGATCAATCACAGAATAGATCTCAGTTACTCCTTGAGTAAAAAGCAATCAACAATGAGTTTGAATGCCCATACATGCCTTAAAATACAAGAGGATGAAAATTTTGTTCATTCCCTAGTAATTTGAGCAGACAGATTTGTCTTAAAAAGAATCAACAATGTAAATATAACTTCCAATGGTTTAATGATGATATGGTGCTAGATGATGATAGCAGGTGATGAATTCTGCAATCTTATGCAAAAAAACAAAAACTAGAAAATTTTGCACTAAAACAGCAAGACAAACATATATGAGAGTAAAAGATAAGAGAGGACTTGAAGAACCAAAGAATAGCACACGAACCTCATATCTTTCTTTCCAAACAATAATTTATTAATAATTAAAATTAAATCAAGTAGGAACTGAAAAAAATGAATTGTTTGAATCGTCTCGATGGAGTGAGAAGAATTGGGAGAGAGGGGTGACTGACCAAGGAAAGGCACTGACGGCCAAACCTTTTTCCCTCTGTTTAGTCTGTGTGATCCCATGCAGGTCCTAAATAACTCAACTTATGACCACATTTTGCCATATGAATTTATAATTAAGTAGGACAACTTATAAAGCACTTAATTGGCTGCAGATGTTTTAATCTCAATCACAAATCATCTAAACCCAATAAACCAGAAAATATTTTTTTATTGAAAGGTAAAGTTTCCAATGCGACCCTGACAAATTGCAAAATTCCTATATACGCCTCCAAAAGTACAAATACCTTGTGTATTTCGTTAATGTTTGAAAGGCCTACAGGTAGCACTTGTAATCAGCTCCCCTTATCACATGCTGGTCTTAAATCAGGTTATGACTAGCTAGATGTATGGTTATACATGTCCAACAAGAGCCAAAAAACAAAAACATTCCACCAACTATGAAATAAAGTAGGCCTTATACACAAGAAACGCCACACCATGCTAATTTGACACCCACTATGACTATCAAACAATTTCGCATAACATCACCACGTAACTGCCATGTGGAACCAATGGTGCCACTCCAGTACAATTGCATTAATGTTAATGAAATCCTTCGAGTCTGAGAAGAGCATTTCAAACAGGGGATAAAAAGTTTTATTGGTGTAATGATTGGAATGGAAATTAACCTCAGGGGCATAGAGGTGGATCGACAGCATTTGCTAGATTAAACTAGATATTTAAAGTAAAGAGCATCGATTGAAGGCTCCAAATCCAACAATAAGTCAACACTTCCATTTGACCACATTCCAAGGCAGATACAAGTCATCCACACCGCTATATCACACAAAATTCTTAAAACATCAAGGAAATCCTATGATCAGATACTTTGAAATTCTTGACACACGCGTATCAAATATTCTTCAGGTATAGATAAATGTAGTGTACTTCTTAGAAATGTCAATAACCTCCCCAATTATATCAAATATATAAACAATAAATTTTAAAAACACAACGGGATCATCGGTTCGTCATTCTATTAGAGAGAGAGGGAGAGAACTCCAAATCCATACCATTGTTTCTCTTCCACTAGAAAGACAACATTCTCTTGTGACCATTTCTTTGAAATATGTTCATTTGGATCGAATTCTACCGATTCTAACCGAACAGTCAAGAAAAACACGAGGGTTTCATTCATGGCAATGGGGCAATACTAAGGGAGAAGGGCGTGGGAGCAGACCTGCTTCTTTGGCGAAGTCGGGGGAGTAGGGATCGTCGTCGGGGAGGGCGTGGAGGCAGCGGAAGGAGGAGACGACGGTGAAGGGAGGAAGGAAGAGAGGGGATCCGATCAGCCATCGGAGGCCGGGGTTCTTGGAGGAGAGCAACGATTTCTTGGGGCACAGAACCCTCACGCACCGTCCCGTCTCGCCCTCCATCGAAGATCCCCAAGGAGGGTCGGCGCGGCGCTTCGAGTGGCACAGTATGTGTAACGCCGCGTGCGTCGCGAGAAAAACACCAAAAAGAAGGTTTTTGTTCTTAGTTTATAACGGCACAGTATGTATGACGCCCGTTTGCATTGTAGGACTAAATACATATTACCCATATAATTTTATTTTTAATGTTCTAATTCCTACATTTTAAAAAGTTATATTAGTATCTATATAAATATAAAAAATTTAAATTTATTTATCCTAATGATATTAATTTATTAATAAAAATATATTAAAAAAATATAATTTTAATATTCGATAGCGGAAGGTAGACGGTGACGTCGCTAGTGTCGACGCCGATGTAGTTATTTAGTCGCCTCCGATGACGATACGGTTTGCTCTCATCACAACGCTTCCCGCCTCCACGAGAAGCGCTCCATTGATTTCATCTTCGTCCACCCCAAATCGCTCTGGATCTGCATCGACGTTAGCGTAATTGTCGCTTAAAAACTGTGTCGGTGTCGATGCATATAATGGTCATCACTCCCCATCCCCTCGCTACTTTGCCATCCCATTCTCCTAGGAGCAGTGTCAAGAAATCCTCAAATCCCTCTCCCACCCCACTGTTGTAGTTGAGGACGCCTCTGCCAAACCCCCCCCTCCCTCCCCCGATTCGCTCCCACTCGAAACTCTCTACCACGTGCAAGAAGCACTCTGTTGCCTCCCTCGACCCACATTCGTAGCTGTGCTCACCCTCTACTCCAATGGCCTTCCGCACAATGATGATGATTTAGACAAGCTTTGGTTAGTGCTCAATGTTATCCCATAGAGGGTCATCGGAGTTCCTACTGCTCCCCCCGCTACCGAAACTGATGTGACAAGAGATGATGTCGAAACTAACATGGTAGTTGAAAGAGCAACAGGAGCTCCGACAACCCCTATGGATGCCACCCTCTGTGGAGTGACATTAAGCACTAACCAGAGCTCGTCCATATCATCGTTGTAATGTGACAGGCCATTGGATCAAGGGAGACGACAGAGCGCTTCTTGCACATGGTAGAGAGTTCCGAGTCAGAGGGAACCGGGGGAGGGAGCAAAGACATGAGGAGCGGGATTTGGTAATTCTAAGGCGTTGCTCCAAGAGAATGGTAGTTGATGAGTGGAGGGATGGGGAACGACCACCACCATTTGCGTTGAGGAGCAAAAGATCATAAACAGCTTCACAATCACGAGAAGGATACTACCCTTGAGAAGCAAAAGATCATAAACCATTAGGCTAAAATTTATGGATGCTTCTGTTTCAACGACTAAATTTTTCACCTTTTGAATTCATTCAAGCATGAACAGCTTCACAATCATGAGAGAAAAAAGAAATGCTAGGTATCAAATTCCGAGAAAACAACATCCAAGAATCTCGCAATGTCTGATCCAGATCTACAGATGTCTATCCAATCGTAGGAAACAGTCACCCATCTTCCCCTTGATCGAAGTGTAACATGATACAGATACAGATCAGACCCATAAATAAACTTATAACAAAATCATTGCAAAAAAAAGTCACTCAAATTAACGAAGAAAGCACAAAAATCAAGCCATTAGAGTTCTTAGATGCAACACGTAAATTTAAACCATTTAGCAATAGCAAATTATGATAGAGATATTTCTTTGCTCAAAATCTTCATCACCAAAATCAGTACTCTGCCGGAGTGATTACATCATCAATCTTCAAAATCATTTTTACGACTTGTGTTGCAAGCAAAATCTGTTGTTGTTTGCCAATCAGCGTCTCAAAGACATTCTGCTCTCTCATATTGTTTGTCCCAACATCATTGCAATCTATGCCACAATATGGATTACCTTCCTGCAACAACCATGCCATGAGAATATTTAAATGTTGAAGATATATGAAATGTTCCAAGCAACGCTTATGGATACAATTGTGTAATGATTGTGACATGACAACAGATCAAACTTATCAGCAGAAGGTACAAGAAAAAGTTCACTTAATCTTGGTTCTCTGGCACGAGAAACATCAGTGCTGTGCCGGAAACTAAACGTAAATGCATGTGCCTATCTGACCATGGATAATAGGAAATTGGTGCCAACAGACAACTCAAAAAGAATGCTACAGCCTTGAATCTTGTCATCATATGATTAATAAATAAAACAGGATATGAAATAATAAGAATGGTCCATCAGTCCATCTTTACCAGTACCCCAGGTATTTATACCTCCAAAGCATGGATATGGACATGACAGATGAATACAATCCATTTCGGATATTTTGACAAAATTTCAAACAATATATATAAGTACAACACGGATATGGCAATAAAAATTTTCTAGAATATATAACTGTATATCACAACATTTGACATTCATCTAAGATGTTCGTGATAAATAATAAAAAAATAAAAACTCATAAATAACTCACTAGTGATTCTTGAAAACATGAGCTGGTTTTTTATTTCCCAAAGATAATCAACCAAAAGTTCAAAAGGAGATCTTTTTAATTGTCATGGACCTATAAGTATGTGGGAGTTATATTTCAGCTTTTATATAGTAGTAGTTTACTCTGAAATCAATAAGATATTAATCAATTAACAATTAACTACAATATAGTTATAAAATGACTCATACACAGCATGGTCATGCAGCCTTCCACGCTGCATAGTTGTGGCTCTTCACTGGATACTGAAAAGTTTCTAGATTACTTGGAGATATATCCTACAAAGTTTATGCCCAAAACTAAGAAAAACCTTTTCGATTTCTTTATTTTATGTGATCTCATGTCCCTTCTATATGGAGTCAAAGGGAAGTCAAAGGGGACATGCTCCTTTAGTTCCCATCCCCCTATATGGCACAACTTCTCTGTTTCCATGCCCTTCTCTGTGGAAGATGCAGGCATGCAAGGCTTCCCACTGCACTTCTAATTATCTAATTTATAACCTGCCACCTGATTCTGTGGATAAATCATGATATCTAGTGTTAAAGAGCAACTTATTCCAATAAAAGACCTGAACTTTATGACATTGCTACCAATTTCAAATACGGAAGCACATGAATACCTACCCCAATAACAAAGTACTTTAAATCATCACTGGATACAAACCACGTAAAAAAGGGTTTGCGGTAAACAATCTTTCAGCCACTCAACATTATAAGATTGATGGAGCTGATTCATTTATTAACTGCATACCTTAATTTGCTGAGATTTGACTGCAGTAAGAGTATCAATAGGTGGAAGGCCACTGTTCTCAGCAAGAGCCATAGGAATAGAATCTAAAGCTTCAGCAAAGGACCTGATAGCATACTGAAAAAGGAAACAGAGAAAAACATGAAATTCAGGCTTCAAAAAATTTGTTAGACAATTTCCCAAAGGTCTAGAATCATTCACCTGCTCCACCCCAGGATATCTATCTGCAGCAGCTTCTACAGCAATTGAGCAAGAAATTTCAGCAGAGCCACCACCATATACAATAGAATTGTTCCGGATCAGATTTCGGGCCACACAAAGTGCATCATGAAGACTACGTTTAGTTTCTTCTATCATCATTTTGTTACCTATAGCATCACCATTAAAAATTCAATAAAAAATTCAAATTAATTAATTGCTGTAGTTTCTCTAGTAAAACAAATTGCCTAATTTGTGAGAAGAATTACTGCTAATCAGAAGCATAAACATAGAAAGTTACACACAGAAAACCCATTCCTAAATAAAGAAATGAGAAAACATGTTGAATTGGTTACCAAACAAAGCATGTAAATGTTGTGGGAGATAAGTGCTCATTTAACATCAGACATGGATAATCTTCTCCCATTTAGCATCATTGATGATGATGCCTTTCTTAACGTTGCCTTATCCCTCCTGTCCTCCCTCCCTCTGCCCTTCTGCAGCTCAATTTAAACTGGTTCACTCTCCTCATTAGTATGCACAATAGTCTTATTTAGAGTCTTAGACATACCTAAACCAGCTTGAACAATTTTTGTCACCTTATTATTAAATTAATATTCATTTAAGCCATAGTATAATGATTATATAACTCACAAGCCTGCATTCCCACTTGTAACCTGCCTTATCCTATGTGCAATATCCTCTTTAGACAAATACTAAGTCCCAAGAAATTGAACCTTTTTAGTTGGATACTTCTTGATCATCTATCACAAAATTTCAACTACATCATTTTTTAGTATAATAACAATTCATTCCATCTCCTTTTTTATAATTCTTAATACAGAATCACTAATTAGAATTAAGATTTTTTTAAGTATTGCCACATAGGGCCAACAAAATGCTTAATGAGACAAGAAAATAAGACCAACAATCTTTATGTCAATAAAGTAGACTAGAATAAATGCACATGAACATTCATCAAAAAAGACTCAGATTGAAACCAATACAGTTGATTGAGCCTACATGAAATAATTACCGTACATGAAACAATATAGATAAAATGCATATTTCAAATGAGGATTCAATGCTCAAGATTAAATGTCTTTAGATGTATATCAAAACACAAAACTGTGTGACGTTCAGGTTCTATTAATCAAATAAAAATAAGGTATGAATGCTGTTACAAGGCCTTTTGGTGCCTAGAAGATAAACAGATTAGAGAACTCCATATTATATATTTATTTGTTTCCTTGCCCTTTATATGTTAAGACTCATAATCAATAATGTTGATCTTCGATTTGAATTATAAACCAGATTTGATTATTAATGAAGAAAATCAGGGCATCAAATCAATCCATCTAATGGGATACTGCGCACGGTAATGCCATACTCTGTTCTCATGCAATGTCAGAACTCCTTTTCACCCAATTTAGCACACGATAATGCCATGTTCGTGTATTCAATCAAAAGCATTCAAACTGTTCGCCAAGGGCGAAAAGGCAGTTCTCCTAATTTCTCAATGAAAAAAAAAAGTTCAGCATTATCAAACAAGGATTTAACTATATGACTCCACATATCAATGTTATTCTAGCACATGCCTCCAAAAAACCAGTGTAAGCAAAATATTCATTTCAGCCTAAAAAGAGAACTAGAAGTACCATCAAATGTATCAAATCCCATTCGTATAAAATACAT